ATTTCATGTCACACATTATTATTAATAAGTAAATGTGTGATCCAAAACAGAGGAGAACGGGACCGCAACAACCTGTAAGTGGAGGTGCTGATGATGGATCAGCCAGTTCTTCAGGTAATCAAAATCAGGAATCCAGGACAAGTGGTCTTAATATTTTGCAAGCTCTTGCAAGTCATGGAACTTCTAGGAACCAGGGAAATGCTAATGGTCCTTCCCAAGTGCCCGCTTCCTCTGGTGATGGCCAGATTGATATGGCAGGTGTTATGTCTCAGGTCTTGCATAGCCCTGCTTTGAATGGTTTGTTGACGGGGGTTTCACAGCAGACTGGAGTCGGCTCACCCGATGTCTTTAGGAACATGTTGCAGCAGTTCACACAGAGCCCACAGATGAGGAACACTGTCAATCAAATTGCCCAACAGGTTGGCAGTCAGGATATGGGGAATGTGTTTGCTGGAATGGAAAGAGGGCAAGGTAGTGGCATCGACTTCTCAAGGATGCTTCAACAGATGATGCCCATTGTGTCTCAAGCTCTTGGAGGTGGAACTCCTTCTCAGTCACTCTCTGCTGAAAGGAGAGATCCCCAGGCACTCTATGGAGATGGAACGCATAGCAGAGATGAAAATATTGATGATCAAAGTTTACAGGTTTGTATAAATGTGCCAACAAAAAGGCATTGTCTGCAGCATTGCAATCCCTAGTTTCGAATTCTCTGGGATGAGAAGGAAAATAGTTTTTCTGCAATCACACGTGCGAGCCCTTGAAAGCTATCTGACTCCACAGGAGAGAAGTGTTGAATAACCCCATCCTTTGACCGTTCCTCACTTTTTGTTAAAAGTAAATGACATAGTGCCAACGGGTTTAAACCATAGGGAACGGTGATTTTGGGCTCTCGATGCTTGTATTCAATTTTCTAAGCTTAAGGTTGTTTTTTTCTTTAAGTTTGCTTTTCATTCTGATTGTTTCTTAACCTCTTGCAAATTCCAGATCAATCTTCAACCAGTGGTAGAGACAATGGAGCACCTGAGTACACAGTCAGATGTTTTCCGTGGGCTGGTTGAAAATGCTATCCAGCTATCCACAAGGGGAAGTTCTTATGATGGTCTTCTGGATGAGTTGTGCGGTGATGAATGTCTTGCCAGTGTGAGTTGCCCTTCCTATGTCATTTGCTCGCTGTAAGGTGCTTCTTGCAGTGCCAAGTTACTTTCATGCAGACAGCATGATATTAATTGAGTTCCTATTCGTTTGGTTGTCTAGGACTATATGGAGATGTTACGACATGATGTGAATCAGCGGCTAAACGGGGATTCTGGGCGAGACTAGTTTAAACTCCAACTACGAAGATTATTTGTTTTCTTGTTTGCTGATGCATATTGATTCAAGAGCTGTTGGCCGATCTGAACGTCCTTGTAAAAAATGGGTTTGGGCGTCCATTGGTGTCCCACAAATTATTTGTTGGTCTGGATCAGTTTGAGTGATTTCCGGATCGCTTCTTGCGGAAGTTCGAAAGTACACCACCCGCCTGACGCTTGTCATATATATGTTGAACATTAGGGATTTGATGGCTTATTTTATTATATTGACTTATATGATCGTTTGGGTTCTGATGGATGCTTTTATCGAAGGCCTTTTGGTCATGAACACCGGGCCTCCAAAAGTGCTTTTTCTTATGGTTTCTTCCTGTCTCGAGGTTTTATAAATTTGGACATGTACATAGCGCATCCTCGAAAAGTATTTGCTGTATAGTTGAAGCGTGAAGGCTATAAACTTCTGGTAAAAAAAAAAAAAAGAAAAGAAAAAAAAAGCTATAAACTTCGCTTTTCATTATGAAATATGATTTGTGTATGCCAGTGTTCCGTTAGAATTTAGGTTCGTTTGGAAGTTTGTGAACTTTTTTTGGTGTTTTGTTTGGCAGTTAGACCTTTTCGATGTTGGCTCAGAAGTTTAGGAGTGCATATCTAATGTTACATTGATTTCCCGTGGGTACCTTTAAACATTTTAGATGGTGTTTTTTTTTTTTGTGTGTTTTTGGTGGGGTTTTTTTTTTTGGGGGGGGGGCTTTTTAACTCTAGTCAGTTTGTCTCGTGACGCCGCGTATGATGCTTGCAGGTCCCCAAATAAAAAATGATATTGTGCGCTGCTTAGTAAACATATGATATACTGTATTTTACTTTCTCATAAATTGAGCATTATTTTCTTTTGCAGCTGTTTCCCGGATGGTTGATATTTTCTAAGGTGTCTTTTCTCCGCAAGGTTCCCTCACAACATGAATGCCTAATGAATTAGGCCCCCCGGCGGTGGGAAATGGGAAAGTCCGAAAACCTGCTTCCGTTCCATTTTTCACCTGCTGCCCTAGGTTTCATATAAAGCTTAAGAAATCAGTCATATTATTAATTATTTATAGATAATGAGGCTTTTATAAATTATATGTGTATTGATATTGATTCAGTTTTGTACAATTAAATGGCCCACCTTCATTAATTAACTTGAAGAAAATAAAAGAACAGCCGTCATAGCTGGAAGACACCATAAAAAAGAGGACAACGACTGAAAAAGGGGATCTCTTAGCCGGGAGATTTCAGGTGCGACCTGGCTTGGTTTGAGCGTGACGTGCCCAATGATCGCGGGAGAAATTAGAATTGGAGCAATACCAGACCGGATCTGGATGCTTAAAATCTCAAATGCTTTTTAGTTCCCTTCTAATTCCATTTCCTTGTGCTGCGGTCCTCTGGCTCTGAGATCCACCGCCCTTGTTTTGCTCTTTATAAGCTGTAAATAATATAACGTGAATAATTTTTAAATTCTGACTTCGGCGTATGTGTTTTAGTCAGAGATTATGTCTAATGTAATCAAGAACGTATTTTTATATCAAAAATGGCAACTTATCATTTCAATAATTATAATTATAATGCAGTTAATTATGTAGATTATATGCGACAGAAAAGGACCCACACTAATTAACAATAAAAATATAATTATGTACATTTTTTTATAATTGCAGGGTTGATACCGTCTAAATACTTTATAGAGGTTTTATGTTTAGGGTTAAAATAAATGTTTTTACTTTTTTTCTTTATGAAAAAATAAATGTCTTTAATAATTCTTATATTCAGAACCGAACGAAGCATTTGACATGTTTTTGTTACTGGGTCACTGGTATTAGTTCATTGAGAATTATAATAAGGTTCCAAATAATAAAAATAATTATTAAAAAATCTCAATAACAACTTAAGTAATTTGTAATGACAAGTTTCAAAATAAAAAATGACAACTTCTGAAATCTGTTTTTTATATATATATTTTAGAATCTCATTGTAATTCTCCCTAATTTATTTTACTTCACAAAAAATAGCCCTGACACTGTTCATTATGCGTAAACAGTGAGGCTTTTTTATAAATTTATTGGATATACGTTTTTTTTTAATTTATATATTTAGACGGAAATGTTAGTTTTGTTGGATTAATTAGATCTGTCCAGGAAAATAACATGTGAAAAAAAGATGAAAACATGCAGGCTGCCGGGTGGATATGCAGTTAAAGAGTTCTGTTCGTGGCTATTTCTCCCTCCAACAAAATCACAACTCGCCAAAAATAAATACGTGTTGACTTTTGATTTCCATATCTTCGTGCTATCTTATGCAAGATTCTAATTTTTAAAACGCACCGATCTCAGGTGACCTCGATCCCCTCGATCTCAATTTTTTCGTAATGGAGAAGTTGTGGGCTAAGGTTAACCCTTTGGCACTTTTTTACTTTGATACCGGACCTCTCCCTCTCGTCCTGGGTGCGTAGAAAGAAAAGAAAAGGAATACACCTTTTAGCTCTTTCCCTTTTCCATATTTGATATGAGCCGGATACAAGCTTGCATAAAATTTTAGATATAAATTGCATTATTCATGGATCATGAGTAGCAAGCAAGACATACCTATCGACTATATGCTACCTGTGCTTCTTAATATAAGAGGTTATTTAATTTTTATTTTAGTTCTAGTTATAAGACCGTAATCTACTTTATCTTTTATATTTATTTATTTTTTCTCAACGTAGTCTTTGCAATAATGATATATCTAACCAATATATTTAATTAGAAAAGATATTTTAAGAAAGACAATACCTATTTATTACAAAATAACTAATTTAACTAGTTTCCTTAATCTACTCAAATTAATCAATTAGCTCTTATATTAAGGATCAGAATCAGTGGACTGGGTCAGAAAGTGAGTCAATACACGCGGCTTATGTGCTGGTCTTCTCATTGATCATTGTTCTCTAAATTGACTCAATACAAGTCCTTGAATTTAGGCGCTATTGAAGCGAGGCTCTTTTAAATTGCGTCAAAAACCTTACAACCTTCCTTTTCCTTTCTTATTAATCTCTGCCAAATGGCTGTTGCGCCACACCTTTACAAGTCCAGCATGTTGTTTCCTCATCCACACAACGAGACAAACGTTAATTTATTTATTTTTTTAAAAAGTGTTCTCATTAACATGGCTTGATTCGCAAAAACAATAGTATAAAATTGTGCCACATGCAATGAGTCAAGTAGTATGAACGAGAACCAATGGAGAGTACCGGCCCCCAGAAATGAAAGGGCGGAGACAAGTACAGCAAAACAAGTAGGCACTCGGTTATAATAATTTAAAAGAGGAAAGGGCATGGGACCATGTATGGATCTGCAACTCTGCATTGCATTGGGAGTTGGAGGGAAGATGCCTAAGCAGGGAATTTGCCCAAACTGCTCACATGTCACGTGTGTGCCCTTCCTCGCTGCACCCAAACAAAATACACAAACCCATGTGCCCCACTGCCCCTGCCCACTTCAAATTCCTCATTTTTCAGCACCGACACTCTTTTCCCTCCTTCTCACATCACATCCCTTTACTTCTTAAAATACAAAGGAAAAAAAACTATTTTCGTCTTTTTCAGACCCCCCTTCGCCTGTCACGGCTAAATAGTAAATACACACCACCACATCACTCGCTGTACCGCACTTTTAATGTGTGCCATACCTAATCATTTCTTCTGCTCATTTCTTCTCCTTTTCGTTCCCTTTTTAAATTCCCTCCCCCTCTTCACACCACTTATATACTGTAACTAACATTGCTAATTAGAGACGCGCGCCGTCTCGTCTTGATTAAGTGGCGGCGACATGCGGCTTCACTTGCCCTCCCTCTTTTCCCTCACTCTCGCCCTCTTCGCCATTGTTGGCGCCGAGGATCCTTACAGGTTCTTCAACTGGAATGTCACTTATGGAGACATCTATCCCCTCGGTGTTCGCCAAACGGTATGTTTGAATTTTACTGCATACATTCCGAACTCAGCCTTTAATCGATCTTGTACATGAATATGCCTCCTTAGTGGATCTGAATCTGTCTGGCTCAAGTGATCTCTGTTTTCCTTGCAGGGAATACTTATCAATGGGCAGTTCCCAGGTCCAGATATTCACTCTGTCACCAATGACAATCTCATTATCAACGTCTTCAACAGTTTGGACGAGCCCTTTCTTCTCTCCTGGTACTTTTCTCTCATCCTCTTTTTGCTTCGCTCGGTAATTTGCGCGATCCTCTCATCTGAGGCCGTTTCAATTGCTCATATGCGCACACGCGCACACACGCGCACACGCACACATTTCGCAAGCTGTAATGAGGCATGTGATGCCTGATACTAAATTTAACTAGTTTCGGACATGGGATGTCATTGAACTTCCCTGGGGCGTTGAGCGTTCGTGAGGAGAATGTCTGAATGCTTTGGTTGGCTTCTCACTACTTTTTCCCCCATAGAGCTTCTGGATTTTGGATGTTTGTTGATCGCATGACAGTGACGAGAAATTTCGAAATGACCATGTGCGGACATGGATCTAGATCTGGCTTTGCTTAGTGCTACACAATTATAGCATTTTATACTTTTGACATTATTTACGCTAGAGGTAGATGCATTTCATTATGTGGAAACTGTTGCTATCACAGCCCCGAACGTCATTATACTTATATGGAACAATAATTAACCTGCATATTTAATTGGTTCCGTTGGGGAAAGAGAGATCATGGAAAGCAACTAATTGCTCGTGGTAAATAATAAAAAAGCAACAGATTGATTTTTGCTATATAGACTAGGCGGCTGCTTAACGCATTACTCCTTCATCTTGGTCTGCGTGTAGGCTAAGATATAATGAGGGGAATGGTCTGGATTTAATGATGTTTGGGAAGTCGACAGCCATGACTATATTTAGTTGAAGCTCCACACTGGACATGATGATATCTGAATTTGTGGTTATGAAAAATATGTAGGAGCGGGGTTCAACAGAGAAGGAATTCATACGAAGATGGAGTATTGGGAACAACGTGTCCCATACCACCGGGGAAGAACTTCACATATATTCTTCAAGTGAAGGATCAGATTGGGAGCTTTTATTACTTCCCATCTCTTGCATTCCACAAAGCGGCTGGTGGTTTTGGAGGCCTTAGGATCCTGAGCAGGCCAAGAATTCCAGTCCCATTCCCTGATCCGGCCGGGGATTACACTGTCCTCATTGGAGATTGGCACAAGTCCAACCACACGGTAATCATTGATTCCTCATTATATTTCCTTCGCCTTATTATCATTTGCATACACTGCATGTGCTCTGCCCATGCAGATATAAATACTACGGATGGCCACTGATTTATCCCATTGCCTGTTCTGCAACCAATAACTTGCCTTGGGACAGCTGGGTTTCCGGTTCACCAAGAGGCTCCAACTTTCAACTAATTCTCCCCTATACCCTCATTGCTAATTGCTATACGGCAATGGATGAAGTGACCCCTAACGAAAAACACGCACACTCACAGTCTGACGCCGTACGTCAGAAAACGAATAATCTGGCTTCACTTCACTGTAGCTGAAAAAAAAAACTAATTACTAAAAATTTTAGGGGAAAATGACATAAAAAAGAAAGTAAAAATTATAATATTCCAATTCAAGCACCTGAGAATTTGATTCAAAATCTGAGAAAAAAATGATGCTTGATTTTGCATTTTATAAATGTAGTCAAATGACTAAAATGCTCTTATATTGGATTTTTTTAAAAAAATAAATTTGTCATCATTATTAGTATATTTTTTTGTCATTATCAATTCACAATTTATTAATAAATAATCTGTTATTGTCAATAAATTTTTAGTCATTTGCTATTCAACATTTATTATTATCAGTTTACAATTTGTTAATAAACATTTTAATGTAAAGGTATTTTTGTCATTTAATTACATTTGTAAAATACCCGATCAGGCAGTATTTTCTTTCCTGAAATTTTATGCTATGTTTGGATGGAGAGAAAAGGAGGGAGAAAGGAAAACTAGGAAGGAAAGGAGGGGAGAAGTGGTTTTTTTCGTTTGCATGAGAGAAGAAAAGTGGGAGGAAAGAAAAGTTAGGGAGAAGATAAGATGGGTCTCACAACCCATTTTCCTTCGAAGTTAAATGGAGAGAAAATGAGAAGAAAACATATTTTGCCTCTCTACCCTTACATATGTTTTTTCAACAAAATAATATTTTTTTTCATTTTTTTACTTTATTTATTATTATTAAGTTTTTCTTCTGTATTTGCTTGATTGAAAAATAAAATAACTAAAATTGTAAAAATCTTTCTAAAATGAATTGAAAGGAAAAACAAATAGAGTTGTTGTTTTGGTTTTTTTAGCATTACATTATCCAAAATGTTATTATTTTTTCTTTTTTACAAAATTATTTGATATTAAAATAATATGATAATGTATCATCAAATAATTTGATTTTAAATCATATGATTTTGTTAATGTAAATATGGTTTTTCATTATGATATTTAATTTGATTTTAATCAGGATATATTTTGATATAACAGAAAGGGTATTTTAGTTATTCACATATTTACTTATTTTCTTTCCTTTCTGTTTTTTTTTATTCATCCAAACATGAAAGGTGATAATATTTTCTCTCCAATTTTTTCTTTTCGCCATTTTCTCTCTTCTCATTTTCTTTTTTCTCAACTTTTTTTTTCAATCCAAACATAGAGTTAAAGTCTTATGTGTCTGAATTGGAATATTATAATTTCTAACATTTTTTGTGTCATTTTCCCAAATTTTAATAACGGAATGGATTTTGTTATGACTTTCTGTACTCTAATTTGTCATATGATTTTTTTCTTTTCCAAAATAATCTATATCCATTTTCCCTATAAAGAATCAAGTACTCCACATTAAATCGTCTCTTTCCATCAATTATAGTAAATCTCTACGGAACTCTCCTGTTTTAATTAAATACTTTGGCAGCAACCGAGGAACCTACCAGTTTTCCACACTGCGAAATGAATCATGACGAAATCCAACTTAGATGTGTAGCTTGCATCTCAAGGAATGTCTTTTTCTTTTTCCGCGACCCCACATTAAATCGTCTCTTTCCATCAACTATGTCACGGTCCGTGTTTGCCAACGAGTAGCCGAGTAGCTCTTCCTCCGCTTAATGTTCTAATTTTTAGCTTCTCCCCTTTAGTTATTATAAGTCTTAACATGTTACCAAAAAAAGGAGTCTTAACATAGTTTTCTAGAGATGATAAATGTATATTTCTGAAAATATCCCTTGTAAAAGAGCTAAATTACTTATCCCATCTTTTATATTTAAAAATACTCTTTAATTGAGAGTAAGAATAAAAAAAAAAAGATTTTATATATGACATTGAATTTTATTATTTTCTAGATTTGTGTGTTTTTTAAAATTGAAATGTGAGCACAATCCTCAATGAATATGTATATGCCTTCTTTTTTATTTGTTTGTCAATTTTGGTATTCACACCAGATTATTACCCATATACACGTAAGTTACATATTTAAATAAAAATTATTAGATAGTCTTGTAAGTTCTGTATCTGATTTTTTATTAAGAAAACTGACTAGAGAGAGAAATCGAAACTTTCCACTTCGTTCTTACTCATAATTACAAGTTATCATAACATCCTATTCCTCGACTCGGGAAAAAAAAAACGGTTGGCAAGATTGGGGGCTTGTATGAATTACAGGCCATTCTCTTTTGTCTTTTTATTGATATTTTATGACTCGTGATGACATTCCTCCTCGATGCATCATAAGAAATTTTTATGCATAGGCATTGAAGGACCATCTCGACACTGGCAAGAAGCTGCCTTTTCCTGACGGAATTCTCATCAACGGGCGTGGACCTAACGGAGCTTCCTTCAACGTGGAACAAGGCATGTGCTCCCTCCTAATCTCCAGATGTAAATTGTTATTTCTTTGGGCCCTATTAATAACTACAAGGAAGCATTTTACTTTTTCTTTTTATCTTCCTGTCTTAAAATTATTACTATTTTATGAATTAAAGGGGAAAAGGGCTGTATTTGTACCCATTGAAATCCGAGCGATGTTGATTCAAACTATCTCTGCACACTTGCTTTGCACTGATCATACGCTGGATCATTTATACTACAGGAAAGACTTACAGACTTAGAATATCAAACGTGGGGTTGGAAAATTCGCTCAACTTTCGCATACAGAATCACAAAATGAAGTTGGTTGAAGTGGAAGGGACACACACCCTTCAAACAACATACTCCTCTCTCGACGTTCACGTGGGCCAATCTTACTCAGTTCTAGTTACGGCGGATCAACCGGCTCGGGACTACTACATTGTGGTTTCCACTCGATTTACCTCTCAAGTCCTCACCACCACCGGAGTTCTTCGATACAGCAACTCTGCAGGCCCAGTATCTGGCCCAATTCCCGGTGGACCTACCATCCAAGTTGACTGGTCCTTGAACCAGGCTCGTTCCATCAGGTTTTTTCTATAATCAACTACTGCAATATTTCATGTCACCTCGTACACACTAGGTGACAGGAAGAATTGTTTTGACCGGAAGGGACGGACTGTTATTTTCACTGTACAGTCCTGTTAAATTTGACATCACATGGTTGCAGGACTAACCTGACAGCTAGCGGTCCAAGGCCAAACCCACAAGGATCCTACCATTACGGTCTAATAAACACAACCAGAACCATCATACTTTCGAGTTCAGCTGGTCAAGTGAACGGCAAACAAAGATACGCAATTAACAGTGTATCTTATGTTGCCCCGGACACCCCTCTGAAACTCGCCGATTACTTCAAAATCCCAGGCGTTTTCCGTGTGGGGAGTATATCTGACAGACCCACTGGTGGTGGCATATACCTTGATGCATCTGTTATGCAAGCTGACTACAGAGCATTCATCGAGATCGTCTTCCAAAACGGCGAGGACATCATTCAGAGCTATCATCTTGATGGCTACTCTTTCTTCGTGGTTGGGTGAGCATTTAGTATTATATGTGCTAATCAAGTAATCATCTTATAACTGGTATTTTAATGGTGAAAGTGGTCAATAATTTGTTGGCCCTGCCCCCCCACCCCGGCTGGGAGAAAAACCCTTTGCTTTCAAATTTCAATCTTCGGGTTTCTCCCTCTCTTTCTGCGCACGCGAATATTTTGATTGAGGTGCTGAAATATTTCAATTCTGTAGTATGGACGGAGGACAATGGACCTCTGCTAGCAGAAACGAATACAATCTCCGAGATGCAGTTGCACGTTGCACAGCTCAGGTGAGAATAATAAGCCATGCTATGGTCATCCAGGCCTTTTATCAAACCTGTCTGCTAATGATAGTTGTTTAATGGTAATTCAATTTTGTTTTCATTTATTGGGTGGGACAGGTATATCCCAAGTCTTGGACTGCTATATATGTTGCGCTTGACAATGTCGGAATGTGGAACTTGAGGTCTGAGTTTTGGGCAAGGCAATACCTTGGCCAACAGTTCTATTTGCGCGTTTATACAGCATCAACCTCTCTCAGGGACGAGTTTCCTATTCCAAAGAATGCTCTGCTCTGTGGTAAGGCGAGTGGGAGACATACGCGCCCCCTTTGAGGTAACCAATTCTCATAAAAGGATCCACATGCCACGTTGGGCCAGATAAGCGGTTCTAGTTTTGGCATCTCAAGTTACGTATTCGCTTATAATTTTTTTTTTTTTTTTGCTGCTTATCCTAATTTATTATGCTCGGGTTCAAATGACGAGTTATGTATAATTAGCTTAAATGACCCCAGCTCGAGGTCGCCAATTCTTTCCATGAAGAACATTCTATTCCCTTTGTAATTGCTCGAGTTTTGCTGTTATGAACTTCGCAGAATCTCAAGCTGTCGTTCGGCAATTGCGCTCTGCGTGCTAAATTTTGTTTCATATGGGCTTCAGTGAGTCTCGTGTCGCATTAATCAAGGACAAATTTTTTCAACGTCTTCTGAAGTTTGGAGAAATATTTTTGAACAACCTGTAACTTGAAAATCACTTTACCATTTGTTGTTTTTATTTGTTTATTTCTCAAGGTCGAGACGTGGTTAAACAACTTACAGTAAAAATGAAACTCGGGGACGATGCGCTGAGGCATTTCAGTATCCCACAATATGCTCGTATTTGGAGAATGTCTTCTTAAATCTTTAAACCTCTGTCAACCCATGAAAACGTGCCAGAAAAAACACCGTAGAGGGGATAAAATATTCTAAAAGCTATGGCATCTCCAGAAGGAGCAAATCACGTGAAGAACTCAGCTAATCATGCGTGCTCGTCCCAATTTTGTCCTTGATTTGAGTTGTTTGGTATAAACATTTTCCAGTAAATTACTTCTGAAGGTTCTGTTTTTGATGAGTTTTTTTGTTTTTATGAATGTTTTTAAGGTTCTAATTTTCATTTCAAACAAACTCTCCAGCTGCGTTGTTATTTCTTCTGTGTACATTTTATTTTTTCCTGAATGGATGATTAGATGGGAAGGCTTGAGCATGGGTGATTAGATGTGGCGCACTCAAAATACATGGAAATGTTATACTGTGCTTAATGTGGAGCAATTTAATTTTAAATATAAGCCCATAATTTACTTTATTTTTTATATTTATCTATTTTTTAAATAGTTTTATAATAGTTGCATATTCTGAAGGTTTTATTAAATAGTAGTTCGAACTAATACACGTGATTAAAAAAAGTATTTTAGGAAAAATAATATCTTTTTATTACAAACAATTAATTTAACAAAATTTTTTAATTTACTTAAATTAATCAACTAACTCTTTTATTAGGAACCAGCGTTAACATAAAAAAAAAGCATGAAAATAAAATCCCAACGGTCTTCAACAACAAAATAAGAGCGGGAATATAAGGTAATTTCTCATAACCCATTTAGAATCACATTTGTGCATTCATAAACATATTTATGTGAGTTGATACAAAACTCCTCCTACATACTTATTTTGTGCTTTCTAAATTATGATTGAAAAACTATTTATAAACCATTTCAAATGGGTCTCACTCCGTGATCATTTTATTGCAACACAAAGGGCTCCGTTTGCTTAGATGCGAATTAAAAAAAATAAGGAAAGCCTGCGCTTTTATAAGCTGGGAGGGAGCATTTCTCAAAGTATTTTTATTAAATTTTATATAAACATAAATATCTGTTTAATTATAAATATAAATGTTGTAATATTAAGTGTCCATGTCCATATCATTTCAAGAGTTGTCTTTTAAGATTACACATTTAAAAGCCATTTAATCTGCAACATAAATGACTTATCGGGAGTTTTTTTATGATTAATACTCATAACATCTAAATGTTATAATATTGGTTTATTCTTTGTTGTAACTGTTAAGGATTTGTAGCCTATAAATAATAAGTATGTACCAAGTGATTGCAAGCTTGAAATGAATAAAAAATTACTCTTTATTTTTCCTCTAATTTTCTTTTGTCTTCAATCTCTTGCATTTCCTTTATTTTGCAACAAAATATGGTTACATAGATATATGGAAGTCGATTGTTTAATTAATCATACCGATAGAATGGTTTGTTTGTTTATATTTTTTACTCTTTAAAAACCTGAAATCATTTTTAAATAAACATATTAATTTTTAACAGACATAATTATCCCTTCACTTGCAATTTCACAAGCGAATTCGGATTGGAAAATGAGGAGATCCAATACAGTTAAATTTCGGAAAATATAAAAAGCTATTAAAGTAGAACTTACTCAGTAGATTACTTGTTTAGTTGATGTTTAGTTGATAACTTCTTAAAAAGTCATACTCCTCCGGTCCTTATTATAAGACCCCATTTGACTTTTTATTTGGTCCTAATTATAAGACTCCAATCCATTTTGTCTCTTATATTTATGCATTTTTTCCAAGATAATCCTTCTAATATGATAGTTTTAGCCAATATACTTAATTAGCAAGGATATTTTAGGAATGATAACACTTATTTATTATAAATAACCAACTTAACTTACTTCCTTAATCTCCTCAAATAAGTCAATTGGGTCTTATAATTAGGACCGGAGGAGTACTAATTTTTTAATTTAATGAATAATTAATACCTTCTTTTTTTTGATGAAATGAATAATTAATGCTAATTTCATTATTTTTGGGCTGTTTAAGATCTTCACCCTAGGATGAATCAAACGACACCACAAGTCCGCATTCGCGAGACCTCGCTGCTGTGCTGGATGCTAGGTAAATTTATGAATTGCAAAGGCAATGAGTCGCTACGCTAAGCACTTGTTACACGCGTCCTTCCAAACCTATCACCTCTCATAACACCCGGTTAAAAGGGCTAGGGTTCGTTGGAGAGTATAATACCTGACCCACTGCAAGCTTCTGGAAGTGGTAATTCTCACTCTCTGGTAGTGAAAGCCCTACACTGCAACTTGGCAAGGCCCTTTCGGCGGGATCCGGAGATTCGCGTACTTCAGTTTCTTTCGTTCAAGGTACATGTTTCCTGTTATATGGCCTGAGCTTTCTGAAATCAAGGAGTATTGTTCATTTCCGGCTTGCATTTGCCTTATGCACTTCCTCATCTACCCATTGCTGTCTGATTGAGGCGCCGTGAAAAAACTGTGCTGTTGGATTTCCATGCTTGGTTTGTTTTCCCTCCCTCTTCTGCTCTGTCTTCACCTTTATTTGACGGAGTTTTATTGTCCATTCAGGTGACCTGATTCGAGTCCCCGTGATGGCGGTATGTTGCTTACTCCCAACTGTTTCATTATTTTCTGATTACTCATGTTATATTTCCTTTCTTAATCATTCATGCGGTAATTGATATAGGTCGAGAAAATTTTCAAAGATGAAGCCAGTGAAGAAAAAGGAGAGCGGGCCAGGATGGTAGGCTTTTTAAGTTTGCAGCAGTGGCTTCTAAATTGAATTAGCAACTTCTGTTAACTTAATTACCATTTATTTTGCGGTTTTTTTTTTTTTTTGCTTATTTTTGATAGGCATCCTTTGTTGGTGCCATGGCAATAGCTGACTTGGTCAAGACAACTCTAGGGCCGAAGGGAATGGTAAAACATCTCTTGTTTATTTCACTGGTTGAATATCCTGTTTCGTAAATAAATATTTTTTTCTCTAACAATTAATGTATCTTGAACTTCATGATTGTAGGATAAAATTTTACAGTCAACAGGCAGAGGACGTGAAGTCACTGTCACTAATGATGGCGCAACTATCCTGAAATCCCTCCATATTGATAACCCAGCCGCTAAAGTTCTCGTGGGTATCCTTGTATTTATATGTTGTTTTATTCTGATGGCCAGTGATGCAGTTGGTTTTGGGGCTTTTTCATTGCTATCCAAGCATATTGTCATAAGATAATAATCCTTAATGAGGGCCTAGACATATCAAAAGTACAAGATGATGAAGTTGGTGATGGAACAACTTCTGTTGTTGTGTTGGCTGGGGAGCTTTTGAGGGAGGCAGAGAAGTTGGTCGCAGCAAAAATTCATCCGATGACAATAATATCAGGTTCATTTATTTGATTCACTCTGTTGATCTTGTTGCCCTTATGATGCTAATCTTGATTTTGTGTTTTCAATTGGACAACCATTTGGTTGTACCTTCATTGGCTTGCATTCTATCAGAATGTTAGGCTGTATTCCATTATTAAGTAAAAGTGTTTCGTAAAGTACTTTAGTAAGTTACTACACTCATAAGGAAATCAATTTTTCTTTTGTCCATCGTTAATTTTCATTTGACATATTAGACCTCTATTGGGTGTCTAATGCACTTCAATTTACCTTTGAGTGTGACGTATTGGTATGCATGACAAAGTTTCCCCTTGTCCTGCATCTTCCGTTAAGATCTTTGCTTCATTTAAAACTATTGCGATGACATGCATATTTTCTTTTTGGTATTTTGCCGTTTGCGCGTTACATTGGCCTGTTCACTGTTAATGAAGGCTTCCTGTCACCATTCATGGTGCTTGCTCTTAATTGTTTTTCCATTTTACATCAGAACTATGGATTAGTCGATTACTAGACGTCTACAAGTAGCCCTTGGTGCATGCAATTTATCAACTACTTTGATCTGTGTAGTTGTTCTGTCTCCCTGCTCTTTTTAAACTCCACTATTTATTCTGAGGGGTTCAGCATGAGTGCTTTTATCTTTCCCCTTGGTATTCTGTGTTTTACTTTGACTTCATGAAATTATTGTGAGTTTTTTATCAGTTATTCTGTAGTGATGTTTTTGTGATTGGTTATGACTTATGACAGCCTGTGGTGTCATTGGTTGTGTTCAGGTTTCCGAATGGCAGCTGAATGTGCTTGCAATGCTTTGTTGCAGAAGGTTGTGGATAACAAAGCTGATGCTGGTACATGTCTTTAGCTGTAACACTTTGTTTCAACTTATCGTCTTATAAGAATTTATTGCTATCCACCATTGGTGGAGCTAATAGTTAGAAGTATGATATTTAGCCAATCTGTTAGTGTTGTTCAGAAGTTAAAGAAGTCGGAGTTGCACCTCTGGTGGTATGAAAGGAAATATATAGATGTGATCGGCATACTTGAATTGTTATGATTTTCTCTATCACACTTCTTTTCAGTCTGTGATTTTTCTGTTAGCATATTTAAAGAATCCATTATCACTTATCATAGCATAAGCAATTCATGGCTGATGTTAATGGACTTGACATCCTCTATTTATGTTCATCCTGTGAGCTCGGGAAGAACAATTTGGAGGCATTGATTCACTACTATGCTTGTGATGCTGTGCCAAGTCCCCGAATCCAAATTCTGAGAAGATTTTCTTGGATTTTTAATGGCTAACTCGTATAATTGTTGGATTGTGCAGAAAAATTCAGGTCAGACTTGATGAATATTGCAATGACTACTTTGAGTTCCAAAATTCTCTCGCAGGACAAAGAACACTTTGCCAATCTTGCCGTGGATGCAGTAATGAGACTAAAGGTGAAATATGGATTTGTTTTCATTTTGTAACTTGTTTCTAGGTGCTTAGATAAAAGTAACTCTTAATTTCCAGGTCTCAGAGATTGTCTTTGTAGTTGAGTGTATTGCTAGCTCTGCCCAGAGATGCATCTAGGGCTCTAGGCACTTGTAGGAAACAAGGGGATTTTTTTTTGGAATCTGTGGTAAATAGTCATATTCTTTCATGTAAGACATGGGACATCCTGTTATGTTGCACGTGACTTTGAAATGCGTTTTGCTTAGTTAGAAGGAAAAATCTGTTTGTCTTTAGCTATAGGCGCTGAAGGGTGCTGGTGTATTTTGACACGATATTCCCATCCGATTAATTTCTTGCTTCAACCAAGCCTACACCAGCAGATCATGAATAACTCATACAACATGATTTATTTTTACTTAGCATGCATTAAGTGTATTTCTTGGTTCTAAACGCAAGGAAGATTTTCATTTATTTTTGTAATTATGCATTTGTGTACACTATGCATGATGCGGTCATATGGTTGTGCTTCAAGAATGTTAGATAAGCTGTGTTATGAACAGTGGTTCTCCTGTGTTTGAAGGAGTTCTTACAATGACATATATGTCTTACCATGTTTCATTTTGCTCATTCGCGTTTTTATTTCTCTGTGTCTCATTTTCATTTTATTGTTCTAAAATGCAGGGAAGTACTAATTTGGAAGCTATCCAGATTATAAAGAAACCTGGAGGATCACTAAAGGATTCGTTTTTAGATGAAGGGTAGGGTTACGAGTTACAAGTCATTAGTGAGAGAAATTGTAACGTATTGTTTCACTCGGTGTGTTTAGATTGCTATCCCTTTTGGGGACATCGCATCTCTATGATGTTGCATTACAAAATGATTAACTTTAGTACTTTCTGTCAAAATGAAACATAAGTATCATTACTTTTGTATATTATTTATTAATTAGTAATATTAATTTTCCTTGCAGCATTGTAGGTCAAAATTATTCTTATCCAAAATTGATGTTCTTTGCCTGTACAGGTTTATTCTTGACAAGAAAATTGGTATTGGACAACCTAAACGCATAGAAAATGCGAATATATTGGTGGCAAATACTGCCATGGACACTGACAAAGTGAAGATTTATGGAGCTCGTGTTCGTGTTGATTCAATGGCTAGGGTTGCTGAGATTGAAGGCGCTGAGAAGGAGAAGATGAGAGAAAAGGTGCAGAAGATTATAGCTCATGGTATCAATTGTTTTGTCAACAGACAGTTGATTTACAATTTTCCAGAGGAACTCTTTGCCGATGCTGGAATATTGGCAATTGAGCATGCTGATTTTGATGGTATTGAGCGCCTGGCTTTGGTAACTGGTGGTGAAATTGCGTCAACCTTTGACAATCCGGAGTCTGTTAAGCTTGGACACTGCAAGCTTATTGAGGAGATTATGATTGGTGAGGATAAGCTGATTCACTTTTCTGGTGTTGCAATGGGGCAAGCATGTACAATAGTCTTGAGAGGTGCTAGGTACTTATCTCCTATTAATTTTTTAAAGTTTACAGTTCTACCTGCATTTTTATCTGATCAGTTGTTTATTGTAGTTTTTTGAGTTTATCTGAGTTTGAGTATTTGAATATTGAGTGTTTTGTTTACTAGTTTGGCAACTTGGGAACTTCATGAATCTTTGTATGTTATATTACATAATATGAATTTCGTGGTCATGATGATCTTTTAGGTACTTGCTGTGCTGTTTCATGAAAGTTTCTCCTCTATGAGCCTATGCACTTTTTTATTATGTTCCGATGGTTTGTGATAAGCTACGTATTGCTGATGCATCTCACCCTTATATTTATACATAGCTTTCTTTGGTATTATCAAGATTAATAATGAAGATTGGATCTTATGATTGATTTGATCAATGCACTGTGAGCTGGAATGTGTAACTGTATTTTAAGATGGAGTTTTCATTATACATTTCACTATCTTTTCTAAGATTTGATTGAATATTCTGTTTTTTGGCATATTATTCTAGGTTTGAATTCTTTTTTTAATTTGTGGCAGCCACCATGTACTGGATGAAGCTGAAAGGTCATTGCATGATGCCTTATGTGTGCTATCCCAGACTGTTAATGACAGCAGAGTTTTGCTTGGTGGGGGATGGCCTGAGATGGTGATGGCAAAAGAGGTAGATGAATTAGCCAGGAGAACTCCTGGAAAGAAGTCTCTAGCAATCGAGGCGTTCTCCAGGGCACTTTTGGCTATCCCAACAATCATTGCTGATAATGCTGGTTTGGACAGTGCTGAGTTGATTTCTCAGCTGCGAGCAGAGCACCACAAGGAAGAATGTAATGCTGGAATTGATGTCATCTCTGGCTCTGTAAGTACTAAAATTGTGAGCTGGGTTGCTATGTGAGATATATATAAGCATTTTTATTTACATGGTGGTAAAGTAAATCAGCCTTTTTTCTTGCATCCATTTCCTGTTTCTTTCTCTATGATACCTGAAGGATGTCTTGAAAATCGTTTTTGGCATCCTGCATCGCATGCCAAATTTTGATGGTCTGATTTGTAAGTTGTGCTATTTTCTGTTTTTAGAATATCATATTTTATTTGCCTTCAAGAAATACCAGTTTCTTCAGACAGTGGGGAGAGGCCATATATGCGTACAAGGGAATGTACGTTATGGGGGTCCTCTCTCCTGTTTTTCTACCCTCTCTTTTCTCTCTCTCTTCACAATCACTTTAGAGCTTTTTTAATACTCTCTTTTCTTCCAGTCTTAACAATCGCTTTAGAGGCCGTCTCTAGTGGATAGAGCTTTATGTTTTATTGTTGGCATTTTGATCTTTAGTTGGAACAGTAGGTGACCGTAGTTCTGCTTCTAAAGGCATGCTTTTGTCATAAGCTTAATATGCATAATGTGTATTTTTATAGTTTTATTTTCCTTCTTGAATTATTGTTTATAGATGAGAATGAAAATAAAAGGCTCTTTAGTCCACTTGCATGTGGCTTCTTGTGACATTCAAATATGTTTTAATTAGCTCTAGAGATATCTAGTATTTGTATTGTTTCAGAGTGTGAAAATGGTACACGGGATTGTTTTACATATTCATCCAATGGGCTGCAAGTTTGACGTCTGTTTTTGTTTGAACTGCTTTGATTTGTTTTGCATTTCTGCAAAGGTCGGTGACATGGCTCAGCTGGGGATATCTGAATCATTCAAAGTCAAGCAGGCGGTATTGCTATCGGCAACTGAGGCAGCTGAGATGATCCTTAGAGTTGATGAGATCATCACCTGTGCTCCAAGGAGGAGGGAAGACAGAATGTGAAAATCTATTTAGCATGTACGAAGAGTTGGTTGTAACATTTTTATCTGGCATATTCTAAGGAGTTATTGTAATGTTTTGTTTTGGACTATGGGCATTGCGATACTGATATGGTGGTTAAGCTAAATCCGAAGAACTGACAAGCAATGCCATGTGATGTCGAAAGTTGTTAGGTGGGGCCGAGTACTGTCTTTTTCCCCCTGGCCTTTCAGCAGAACTTGCTCCTGCCTATGCAAAATATTGAGTTAGAGTGAAGTCGAGGATTTATTCTTGATTGTTATAGCTGGGATTTGAAAAGCCCTCCAAGCTCCGGTGATATGCTAAGATTGCGTGATTTCTTGGAAGGCGATGGATTTGAAACTCATGATAGTCAGTCAATTCATTTCAAACTTGTTTTTCCCTCTTATATTTTGCAATTAGTTTGATTTGTTGTGAATTCCACCGATAACATGATTCCATCGAAACGTACTTGTAAGCCGCCACTATTAAGATCGGAGAACAGAGATTAATGAAGAGAAATTTTCGCAAAAAATCAATGTATTTCGATGATCTAGTATTTAGCACTGAATTAAACTGATTAGCCTTGCAAGGCGAGGAAGTAACTCATTTTTTTAAAATAAATATTAAAACATGCAAAGCAAAGTATATTAAGGGTCCATGAGAGGAGGGGGGAGGAAGAATTTTAATAAGCTTGATTTAATAAGTTAAAAAAGTAGGGTTAAAATTTTTTAATTAATCTTTATTTCTTTTTTATATTACTTTATTTTAATTAAAATTTTAAAACTTTATTTCTTCAATATTTTAAATGAAGTTCATTAGAAGTTTCCTTCCCCTCCCCTCTCTTTTATTTCCCTCATACCAAATAGTACCTAACTAGAACTTGATGGGACTTTCTTTTAGGGAGCCTCATGTCTGTGAGGGAGCATCTTTATCTCTAACGGGATGAGTTTCCCTCTCTCAGATGGTCTTAGCTAACGTATTGAGTGTTATCACCTTCTCTTTAGAGCCTGTTTGGCTTGAAGGGAGGATGGGGGAGAAGGGAGGGGTGGGGGAGGTTTTATTCTCATCTTATTTGGTTTGATTAAAAACAAAGAAAGGAAAGGATATTTAATGATCTCTTATTTGGTTTAAGAGAGGGAAGTAAGAGATAATAATAATCAATTTATTATTTTATCTTTACATATTAGTTTATATCTTTCATTGATATATTGTATAAATTAATTTACATCTTAATTTAAATTATATAATTTAATGAAAATTCAGTCTTATCGTATTAATATGTGCATTAAAAAATTGGCACAGTAATTTTTTATTCTAATTAATGTAATAATATATTTGAAATAATCAAATTAACAAATTTTATATGCTCTAAAAAAAATTGAAATTTTATTCTCTTTAGGCTATACTTTTTTCAGCTTTAAAATATATTTAATAAATAATATATTTATAAAAATTAATTTTATAATATTATAATTTTTTATTTAAAATTTTATAAATTATAAGATATATATTATATAAAAATATTTCTCTCTTTCAAATACTGTATAATTTTATATTTTGCATGCAATACGGGTTTTTTCAAACACACACGATTAATGGATCATATTAATTTACAACCTGTGGAATTATCTATTCCTTCAAATCTTAGGAAACATATTTGTTGGGAGAAAATTTTTTTGCTTTAAGCTTTCAAGGGAATATCCGAAGAGGGATACATGAAACTCCGAAATTTGAACTAGAGGCTAGAGCGGCTCTGGGATCTCAAATCTCAATACCCACTTTGTATTAGCTAAGTAATTTGGGCTTAAGCCCACATTTGTCAGGATGCCAAACAAATATGTCTCATTTCTTTTCCCTCTTTCTTCAATTAGAAGTATTTGAATGGAAACTAAATTATGATGTTAAAATTTAAAATAAGTATGTAAAAAGAATTTTGTTTTAAACTTACATAAAAATATTTTTTTAAAATGCTTTTGATCTCTTCTCCTTTCTTTTTTTTTTTGTACAGCTTTTGATTTCTTTCAAACACTCTTTAAGACGGTGTTTGGGTAGTTTTAAAAAGCATATGAAATAAGTAATATGAGAGATCGTGAAAGCATTTTTATGGCAAACACCCGCTATTGTCTTTTTCCCGTCACGGCATACCAACACGCCTGTGAGGAATTCCTGGCCTGTCCTGATTCATATCCTTCTTGTCGCACGGCAACTAATCCGATAATAGCAGTTCTTCGTAAATTAAAGCCAAAGGTTCCAGCCTTGCTCAAGCAGCTTTAGATGGCGGGTGGATCGGAGTTTAATCCTGCTCTTGTTTTCTCTCATAAGTTTCCTGAGGTCTCTGGTCTCTCCTTATTCTTGTCCCCTTCAGTTTTGTGCTGTTTCTTTTCGGCGTAACACATGGGCCCTTGTGCCTCCCCTCTTCTCTTTCCCACTTTTTTTTTTGGCACACCACCTGATTGTTCAAGAAAAAAAAAAAAGACGATATATTCAAGCTCACTGCGGTCCATTAGAATAGAAATGTTGACGGGTACTGCCTGAAATATTTATGTGCGGAATTTCTTTTACTGTTGGTTTTTGGTTTTCCTTCACGCCTAATTCTAGAGTTTTATTGGCATCTTGATTCTGCGAACGGATTGGACCACAGACTACATACTCCTATACTGAAAGGTAAACCTGCTGTGAATTAAGTTTTGCATACTAATTTGTTGAAGTTATCTTTACTTCATGAGTTTAATGCGCTAGAAACTATAAAACGTATCAACCCTTTTGAAGTAGATGTTTGCTTTGCATACTTTGAACAGAGATGCGGCACTTTATGCGTTAGGCGTCGGAGCATGTGCATGGGATGCCGTGGATGCGGATGAGCTTAAATATGTTTACCATAAAGATGGTCAGAAGTATATTAAGGTATTGTTATTTTATAAGGTAATGTTGATCAATGTTGAAGTTATTAAAGTATATTAAGGTATTGTTATTTTCACCTTTAACATTTGCAGGTATTGTGAACAACTCATTTCTATTTGGGCAGTCTCAATTGCCATAGACTAGCAAAATATTTTGATAAAAAGATTGCGAGATGGTCTTCAAATTTATGGATACCACTTGACCCTGCATTTCCTTCTTCCTAGGTATTGCCTACTTTTGCCGCTCTTTTTTCACTTGGAACAGTGCCAAGTGCTGGTCTCCCTGGCCTGCAGTGAGTTCCTGTTTTTAATATATTGCTGCTACCCTTTGAATGTGTAATCCCTTCTCAATTGTATACTCTAATCATACTGCTATTGGTGACCCCTTCTAGTTTACTGACAGAAAAACTTAATTCCTGACAGATATGATCCGCGTCTTCTGCTGCACGGACAACAGCACATAGAATTGTACAAGCCATTTCCTTCCAGCGGTCATGTAAAGCTTCTGATGAAAATTTGTATTTTATACATCTATATATGCCATCCTTATGTTCTCTTATGACTACGAACGATGTGTTTGGTATCTTACTAATTGGTATCTGATTATTTATATAATAAAATCCCACTAATTTCACCCCTTCCAAACGAGCCTATAATTTGATAATCTACGGCAGTATTTCTTTTTCTTTCTTTCTTTTTTTTTTTCACCATGCAAAGGTTGATTTTTTAATGACATTTTCTGTCTTGTTCTGTTTAGATAGAATAATGATATTGCGTAATCGTTGCAGATACTCAATAAACCCAGTCTTGCTGGACTACATGATAAAGGTTCAATTACGATAGACAGGCTTTTATATATATTTGTTTCTTGTGAAATTTCAGATCCTCGTAAAACGTGTATTCTATGCCAACGATTTTCCTGTCACTCTTGCATAATTGCTTCATAAAAAGAAAAAAGAAAACAATCTTACGGCTTCAATTTCAGGCAAAGCAGCCATATTGGAGATTGAAACAAAAAGTTATGACAAAGAGTCTGGTGATTTATTATGCATGAACAGGTAAAACATTCTAAAACATCTAATTTGATATTTCTTGCCATCATACTCAATTAGCATACTGCTTGCAGGATGACTGCTTTCCTGCGTGGTGCTGGGGGCTTCTCAAAGTCGTCTAATTTATTTTCTTACTCCAATTACCCTGCCGACCAGGTTTCAGTTGTGGAATTTCCAGAAAGTCAACCTTTTTCAGTATTTGAAGATCGCACCAACCCATCTCAGGCATAGAAATCATTCTTTTCATATTGTTTGAACTGAATTGGCTTATTCTTTACCCCTATTTTGGCTACAACCTTCCTTCACTGATTGTGCTCTCGTCCTCTTTATGACATATTTGGAATGAAACTTATGATCTGCTCAACTTTTGGACAAACATGCATTATATTAAACCAATCATATTACACCATTAGGTGATCTGGTGCTCCCACTTCAGTATTTATGCTTTTTGTTCGTACAGTCTCCATTATCGTGACAGCTTTTTTAGGCATTCACGTTGCTTAGGGTGCATTTAATAAACTGAGAGTCCAGTGCTGAAAATTGCTAGGTTAGATTTGTGTTTTTGATTCCTTTTTTGTCCTTTTGTCAAAAAGTCACGAGCTATAGCTATAAAATTGTCAGGGTTCATCCCTAACGTGGAAGACAGTTGAGGCTTTGCAAAGAGCCATTTTTCTTTGGGCAGCTTTTAAAGAATTCATTGAGTAAAGTGGCGATGTGCTTTAAGTTATGCATTATGCCCGTCAGCAGGGTGTTAATGTGTTTACCTTAACCATTGCTGCTTGGGTCTAATTGATACGTTTACATACTAGGTCTTATTCTTTAATGTCAATTCCTTCAAGTTATCTGCTACCTGCTTTCTGCAGGCATTGCTTTACAGACTATCTGGTGATTACAATCCGCTTCATTCAGATCCCATGATTGCAAAGGTTGCAGGGTTAGTACTGCCATCCTGTTCTCTAAATGCCTGTGAAATATTAAATACTAGAATTTCCAATTAGACTGTAGGTGGGTTTGTTGAACTTGGCGTATGTTTCCTTTCTTTAGCCATGGAATATGATTGGACATTCTTTGCAAAAGCAGTGTGGCATCTTATTTCAGCCAAATAGAGTTTATCCTTGTCTGAAGCCAGGAAAGAGGAATGCTTATATGGAATTTTATTAAACTGATGGGGTCTTTTAAGGATATAACAAATGAGGGTTACTTAGCAAATTAGCTTTGTATGACATGCATCTGTTTCTTACTATGTTTTCTCTATATTTACATTCTACATATGGATTCAGTTATATCGAGGTTGGCTTGCTTCTAATTTTTCCCCTTTTCTTGTTGCCAAAGATTCTCACAGCCAATATTGCATGGGCTGTGCACACTGGGCTTTGCTGTTAGGGCAATCATCAAATGCATATGTAGAGGAGATTCGGAGAGGATAAAAAGGATATCAGGCCGTTTTCTTCTGCATGTGTACCCTGGCGAAACTTTATATACTGAAATGTGGCTTGAAGGTTTGAGGTAGGCTCAGTAATTTCCACATTAATAGAGGGATCTATCTGGAGGTAGATCTGAGGTGGTATTTGAAAAATTGCAGGGTTTTATATCGGACAAAGGTGAAAGAGCGAAAGCGTACAGTCCTTTCTGGCTACGTTGATCTGAATGGTTTGACTCCGTCGCTGTAAAGGACTCTCGTTGCGTGTAAGCAAGAAGGTACTCGTAATTATTATTCCCGGAAGATGTATTAAATATTTCAATTATCAATAAGTCCTTGCTATGACTATCACCTGCAAAAAGGGATCGAGCTAGTGGGACCACTTTATTTCCAGTTTTCGAGTGATCTGGTATTTCTCACCTTTTAGTCACAGTAACTTAATTGGAATACACGGGCTTGTCCTCGCTGGTTAGGATTATGACAGTATGTCATTTTTTATCTGATTGAATAGGCTAAAACCAAAATAGCTGACGAGCGACAATATGATTTGAGCATACTTTGCTCTTGAGTCTTGTGGATTGAAAAAAATAATGTTGGAAGTGCTTTCTCTTGAGTAGTGCTTGATTTGGCTAAAATTTATCGAGTCTTGTGTATTAATTCAATAGCAATAGAGGATGGGATGCGTAAATTCCTAATCCCGTTATAATCCATATTTTTTTACTGTTAAATTTACACACACAGAACGTCTCCTTTCAAAAGTGAGTTATTAGAATTCAGACGTTCTAGTGTTTTAATCTCTTCCATGGTTCAAAACTATTGTAATTAATATATTTAAAAAACAACATACTAATTCAGATAAAATAACACCTATCTATGTTAATTGTGAAGATAATTTGTTGGGGATTATAACCTCTAAGTAACATCACACCTCAGGTTATTTCCTTACTTTTGCCACTTGAGTTTTGGGTGACAATTTTGAAGACTATTTGAGAATTATTTTAAATCAAATGATGCTATCAAATATAATTTTTTAAATTTATATATTATCATAATTGATGTATAATATTTTGTCAACATATTGAATATTAATTAAATCAAATCTATATAGTTAGTATGATTGTTCTAAAAATAAATGGATTTAGATGACTACTAAGACAGATAGATATGATAAGAGATAGAATTTTGGGAGAATTAGAATGAGGTTCTGAAAATAATTACAAAATAAGTTTTAAAAATTTATTTTTTTATTTTGGAATTTGTTATTACAGAATATTTAGATTGTTATTAGGATTTTTTAGTAATTATTTTTCTTTCTTGAGATCTCATTATAATTCTCCTAAAAAAATTTTGCTAACTACATTATAATATGTTAAATTTTCATTATTCGAAGCTGTTATGATAAAATAAAATTAAAAACTAATAAATTGGTGACATGAATCGCGTTATGAATTAATGTACTAATTTTAAACAAAATACATATAAGATATTGACAAAATAACATATATTAATTAATATTATTTTCAGTTCTAATTATAAAATCTTGTTTGTAAACCGAAGATAGTATTAACGGTTCTGTCTTTTTTTTTTTTTGGTCTAAGATATTTATGGATTCTAAAACTGACTAGTGACTGTATTAGAGGGTTCCCATAACAATTAAATTACGCAAGTGATAACATACTTCAGAATTATTTCAGTTTCGCAGCACAGATGACAGAACTATTGTAATACTGCACAGATGACAGAACTATTGTAATACTATCTCTAGTTCTAATTATAAGATTTGATTTATAGTTTACAACTGGAAATTAGCAAACGAAATTAAAATCACCAATTCATTTTTACAAGCGAAATCATGTTAAATTAGATATAATTTGAATAAAATTTGCTATTTATAGTTGCCGGCTTAATTCCACTCTTGACCATATCAATTTTTTTTTTTTTACTATGTTGAATTTAAATACACATCCGAACGTGCCATCGTTTTAATTTTATTTTGAATTTAAGTAAAACATTTCCCTATATGGAAGGATTTAAACTATAATTTTTACCTCCACGCACCATATTTTTACTACTTTAAGTTGGACTTAATTGACCATTTTGTACACGTTGAAGATCGAAGAGTATGGTATGAAGAGATAACCGTCCCGATTGGCCGGAAAAAAAAAGAAAAAGGAAAAGAAGACAACTCTCCTCGCTTGATGCGGGTCAAAATACCATTTAAACATATTAATTCATCCCCATACGATTTATTAAACCATTAACCACGTCACGAAAGTTGAGAGTTGAGAGGGGATTGCTTTTTCAAAATGTTGGACGAGAGCGAAGCTGCGAGTACAGTGGAGGGACCTCGGTTGAAGCACGTTATGCCTACCGCCGCTCATCACCTGCTCTCGGATGTCCCCGAGGTTGCTCCTTCCGAGTTGTACGATACTGTCCAGAGTTTGCCTACGAACGCCGTCAAGGACTTGTTGTCCCAAGAGGTGCATTCGAAGTCGAGTTCTATTATCGATATTGTTCACTCTAATTTTGTGTAATTTTTGTGTTTGTGGAGGAATTTAAAGTTGATCCAGTATGTTAGGCAGCGCTAGACGGTTCCGAGCTTTCTATAGTTTTCAAGGAATAATGAAGGAATTTGTGGTGGTGGTCGTATATTGCTAATAAATTTCCTATCATTATGTATGTTTATATGGCAGTCAGATTGCTTCACAGAGTTCTATTAATGCCATGTGGTTTTTCGTACATTCTGGAGCCTGGGTTATTTGTTCAGAATATCAAACCTGTTGATAATAGACGTGATTCAGTTGATCATATCAAGTATTTTGCTGATCATATCAATGGTGCTTAAGAATGGAAATCGCTCATGGCATCATGAAACTTGAGTTCCAGATGCTTGTAAAATATTGTCACGCCTTTCTTGTAATGTATAATGTTGCAGATATGTGCTCGCTGCATCTTTCGGCTGTTTGGGGTCCAAGGGCGCATCTATTCATGCTCCCTGCTTTCATCTTCAACCATGAGTTGTATTATTGGAGGATCAACTGATTTAGACAGAGATACGATGGATAGTTGTTTTAGAAAATGTGAAAACCTAAGTAGTTCCAAAGAACCCAAATGTGATGCTACGCTTTGCAGCCTTTGTTTAGGGATCCTGCAGTTCAGATTTTCCCGTGACACAAGGCCTCTATTGAAAAAGAATACTCCTGATGCTATGGCTGTCTTAATTGCTGACACGGTTAGGAAAGATGGCCATCAGATTGATAGCTTTTCCCTTGAAGTTTCTGTACCACCTGTTATCCTTGAAAATGAGAATGGAATTCAGTAAGAATCTATTCATGCTGATGAGCACTATGCACGAGAAAAGAAATAATCATTCTTTCCTCTCCCAAAGCAAACTCTACATTTGGTTAAACTGCTATCTTCTTATCTGTTGAACATGAATGGAAATAAGTTCTCTTCTTAAACTTTCGTAGGTCATACATGAGAACGAAATATGGAGCTGAGCCTTGGTTCCAAGAAAAGTTACATTTTGGACGTGTGTCTACAAAGGACGCATTAAAGTTTTCAATAGTTTATCCTCTTGAAAATCTTCTTGTAAGTGAATTATTTTATCTATTCTATTTTCTAATTTGAAGTCCCAGAATTAGATTTTATGCATTAATTTTTTGAACATCTATATCTTTAGTATTAGCAAGGAAATGATTACCTTCTTTTTTCGTATAGGATTTATGTTTCTTCCAATAATCCTTTACAGAATTGAAGTTTTGTAGGGCTATAAATCAAGTATGAACTCCTTCCGTATCCGTTTGACATATGGCCACTCTAACTCATCAAAAGAGGCTAGAAAGTGTTCAGATGGTGATAAGAGTTGCAAGAGAATAAGAACAGGCATGTCTAAATTTCTGCCATCCTTTATCAATTTGTTTGTCGTTTGTGCTGATGATTTTTTTCATTGAGATAATGGAATTTTCTCCAGGGCTTTTTTAATTATTGATTTTCTTTTGTGTATTCTCCTGCTATCCCAAAGAGTCCTTTGTTGAGGTGGGCTACTGTGAACACTTCATTGGATTTCTAATTCCAGTTTATTGACACAATTGAAGCCACTGGCACATTCACTCATAGGCCTCAACTAGTAGCACTTTTAGGGATTAAGGGTGGAAATCTTGGTGCTGAGAATCATGAGTAGTCTGTGTTAATCATTTTTATTTGTTAGTTATAGCATATTAGCATTATGTAAGATATACTGTTGAGAAACAGAACAAGACTAAGACATTTTAGTAATATAAGATGCCCTGTACTGTTTAAGCAGGTTGGTCTCTTCACCTCAATAGCTAGCTTTTAGAAGAAGGTCCTTCATCCCATTGAGTGCCCATCAATTGATATTAGAACCTAGTAGTCAACAGTTTTGGTGAAGGCTACCTATGATGGTTTCTAGCTGGCAAGAAAATTGAGTGAAGGATCACCTGGTGAAGAGTTGGGACCATTAGGAAAGTTGAGTAGAAGTGTCACTAATTAATGAGTCAGACGATGTAGGTATTGCGACATGGACTCTCCAAAGGGGTCAAACGATGGAACTAAGGCAGGGTTCTCCATCCTACTTAGATGCCCATCAATTTTCATAGCTCTATTTGACTTCATTTATGGTTTCATGATCGTGTCTAAAGTTCATAAGAATTCTCAATTTTGTTTCCTTTTAGCTATTCTCCAAGACCAACATGTGCCGGAATTATTTGTAGGTGTGGACAACAGAGTGGGTGTTGCCTATGATTCCATGGTTTCTCACAGTGAATGCTCAGATTCTTTCAAAGTTGAATCCAATCCAGTTGGAGAAAAGCCTTACAATAGTATGCTAGAAAATGAGTCCTCTGAGTCCTGCGGCATGGTTCTAGAAAAGGTATGTCAAATTTATTCCTTTGTTATGGCCAAATCTTTGTGAATTTGGTTTACTGTGTGTTCATGATAATTTTTAGTTTCATTATTTCCCATTAAATTTAGTTTTACCATATCACTTGCTGGCTCATATGGTGAGTCCCTTGTGAGATTATTGAGGGAATTGTGTTTGTGCTGTTGTTCATGGTAAAAGGAGGTTCAGAGCCTTTGATGGCTGCCCTTATTCATCTATGTCTAAAATTGTATAGTATTTGTTACTAACTTTTCTTGCTTTCTAGGTAATTGAACCTTGCCATTTTACAGTCTGTTGCTACAGAGCACCCATCTATTTTGGTGGAAGATACCTGAAGGTAATCAAGTAGTTGGTACTCTCCTTTTCCCTTTCTAGGACTTGCTGCGTATCATCTGTGGATGATATATATTTTAAAATAATCGTGTGGATGAATTGGGCCTTTTTAAAGCTAAGGATAGGCCAAGGCTGGACTTATTGCTTTTGCAACTTGAAATTGATGCTGTTATTTCCATGGCAGTATTCGCGGAATGTGAGTCAAACACGCTGGATCATTGATGATGAAAGAATGGGGGAAGCATCTGTCGAGGTACTGCCTAGCCTCACAAATTGTTGTTGTGATCCTTCCTTTTGATTGGGGAAGCTCATGACGTATACCTATTTTGTAGGAAATCATTGGGGGAAACATCCTTCAAAAGTGCCATGGTGATAGCTATAAGTTTCATGCTGCTGGCAGAGAAGATATTGACGTACTAGAGATCTGTTGCACATGCTATCCTTTCTAACTCTTATGGTGAATGAACTTCCATGTCTCTGACCTGTAACTATTCATCCAGGTCCGAATGTTGGGTCCAGGCAGGCCATTTCTTGTTGAGGTGCAAAATGCACGACTCGTCCCATCTGATCTTCTTGTAAAGAATATAGAGAAATTGATAAATAACTTGGAAAATAAACTGGTAATATTGTAGCTCTATTTTTGGTGTATGCTAATATGCCAATTGTCTTAGTTGTCACCGAGTATTATAACAAATGCTTCTGTAGGTTAGCGTGAAAAATCTGAAGTTGGTTGGCAGCCATGGTTGGAATCTTATGCGTGAAGGAGAGGCAGAGAAACAGGTCTTGCAGTGTTCTTCTAACTGGATATTAGTTATAGTCCATGTTTTATGGTTTTCATCATTTCATGTATCATGCCTTTGACTTTAATTATTACAATATTTGTTAATTACACAGAAGCAATATGCTGCTTTAGTGTGGATTTCTCGTCCTCTGAATGATGAAGATTTGCAATCTGTGTCTTCACTCAAGGATTTGGTGAGTTTTTATGCTGGTTCTGTTTTGTGTACTGGCAAACATCACATCATTGCAGTTCTTGTTTCTGGTTTGCTTGTGATCAATATTCTAGTGGGTGATGACCAATTTGTCTTAGGGGTTCAATATTAGCGTGATGGAGAATCATGACTGTCCAACTTTGTTGGCTCTGGAATTTGTGGTTTGTTATGGTGGCTGACTGTACTGCCATAACCAAGGTCCTACTTGGAGGCATTACCTAAAAGTAGTGTGTGAATTTTGAAGTTGTAGTCGGATTTCTCTTCTGATATTAGATTTTGCGCAAATGCTAGGGTATCTATCAATGTTATGATAGTCAAACTGGTCACTGAACCTGTCAAAATAGTGGTTCAAGGTTCATTGATTGGATTATGGCCAAACCATGCTCAAACTGGTCGTAATTAAATTGATATGTTTTGCATATTAAAATATTAATTAGGGAACAAAACAATCAATAATAAGTAATATCTTTTACGGCTTAATATTTAAATTTAAAAAGATTCATATAACCAAAGAAATAGAGATCCATATTTATATATAATCGCAAAATTAATTTATTATATATATATATATAACAAATAAATAATTATCATAATATTTATCTTATTAGTTATTAAGCTGAGGTTCTTTGAGCCCCAAACGAAACCAGATTCATTAAAATAGTTCTCTAGTCGACCTATGCAGATATATGGAATGATGACTAGTGGAGAGACTTCTTCCTCTTGGCTTCTTTTAACTAATTTAGGCGTCTTCTACCAAGACAGATAGGGCCACGGCAAAGAACCATGCCAGGTCAGTAAGAGGCAATCTTGTCACCAAGGAGGCTAGTAGAGTTGCTTGCCATCAAACATACTGGCAAGGCAAAGAAAGGATCTAAACAAGGCGTTTCAGCTAATGAAGGATGAAATGGAGGAGATGGTGATGAGAGCACGGAGGAGGAGGCAGAGGAGGGTGGGGTGGATGATGACGGAGGAAGGGGAGGAGGAAGATGACAGAGAGAGCAGGGAAGTCACAAGAGTCTGTGTAATAAGTGACACATTTTTCTTCTGCGAGGACATCCTAGAGGTTGAGGGGTGGTCCATGTAGTGGCTTTGACATGGCTGATGATGGCTCTTTGTGGCTGACGAGAGAGACAGAGAGAGTTGCTAACTTGTAGAGTCGAGGAAGAACTCCCAAATGTGCTAACATGGATGAAGAAAATACACCATTTAAAGCCTCAAAAGTGCCAAAAATTATCTGTTGGAACAACAAAGGCCCACATTGATCAAAGAGACGAAAGCAAAGACGAGTGTGGTCTCTGTAGAGGAAAAGTAGAGACGGTATAAGTTGCATTCACAGCCTAGGCTTCTAATCAGCTCAAGGTCCATAAGTTTATTTAGAATGGTTCGCTGTGACTGGCCCCTTTTTTTTTTTTTTTTGGGTCTTTGATTCAGTTTTCTTTTAGTCTTGTTTTCTTTTGTCTTGTTCCAGATCAGACTAAGTTCTGGTTTGCCAGTTTTCTGATTGGACCAGCTGGTTTTAATAGCATTGGTATCTGTTGGCTTTCCCATATGTCTTTTGCTAGTTGAATGAAATCTGGGATTCGATAGGTTGTTGCTATGGAAGGTTTTAAGATATTCTGTGAGAATTTCACTGTCTCTAACATTACTGAGAATAGCAGCACTTCATCAAAGTTTTGTAACTGGAGCTTCTTATCTAGTCATGAGGATTGATTATGGTACAACTTTGAAGAGAATCTTGTTTCTTTTCTTTTTTTTCCCACTTTGAGTGAAAGAGAATTATGTTTCTTAAATGGCTTTTGCTTGTTATTAAATGAAATAGCATGAACACCGAGTCATGATTCTATTACACATTCGTCAATTGAATTCTGCGAAGTTGTTATTAGAATAACAGTAAGAATGTCATCCAAGATAGAGGGGATAACATGAGCACCCTGTCCTGTTCTGGGTGTGCTGTTTTCAAGCAGAAATTGCAGAGTGACTAGCACATGAGAAATTCGAACATACTAGATTGAACTTTCTCAGCTCTTTTTGATGATTTGGTGGAGCTTTGGCTAAGGGATATGTCTCTTTCTGTGCAGAAAATATTGCAGAGGACACCAATAAGAGTGTTACATCGTCGCAGTCCTTTAGAGCGTGAAAAGATTATTCACTGGTATAATCCTTTTATATTTAATTTTTGCATGTCATCAACATAATCAAAGCTATATTGCAATTACTAACTAGAATGTCCCATATTCTCAAATTTTAGGATGACAATAGAAACGGTCGCTGGAAGTTCCCAGTATTTTCTTTTGCATTTGTGCACACAGGTATTCTCTTCATGGAGTAAAACATTGTTCTACTAAGTCGAATTGAAGTTAATCTCTATGCCGTTTTTACTGGCTATACCCACAAGTCCATGCTGTGAAAAATGGAGGAGACTTCCTTTTTTGAAATTAGAGCACTTCATTTGGTTGAAAAGAATGGTCTGAAGAGAGGGTCCAAGCTTTTTTTCCTAGTTTATTTAATATTTTCTATTTCTGTGGAGGGAAAATAATCATAATAAAGCGTAACTGATGTTTGATTGCAGGCTGGAACCTACATCAAAGAATTTGTTCATGGAGATCTTGGACGCACACAACCGAGGTAAGTCTTTATCCATTTCTCCTCTGTACTTGTTTATAAAGACTTGGGACAGAAGATCCCGTACAGCCATTGTTTGCTTTGCTTTGCAGTATTGGATCGATTTTGGGCTGTAGAGCTGAAATTTTACAGCTTGATGTCACAAATGTCAAAATGGACTGTTTCCTTCCTTCATAAGGCTCTGTGCCTGCCTTCTGGTTAAAGGGACGAATCTAGCGCAGTGGTAATTTGAACAGCATTCAAGTAACACGTCCACAAACCGTACCCTCTGGTTTCATCCATCAAACCAGGGTTCCGATTGATAAGATTGAAATTGTGTTTATTATGCCATTGTAGTTTATATTTAATCATTATTATCTTTTTGAAAAAATTACAAGTTATTTCCGTTTGATAAGATTGACTTTTGTATTTTGATCGGTTATTCACAATAGAGAATCTAGCAGACTTTTTTTTCGTTTTTTCTTTTTGGGAAAAAAGTAGCTGATGTTCAAGTCATGCGAAAATAACCGTGGCTCCGTTTTGCTCTGTTCGCAGCCGATTTTCACTGTTGGTTCATGATTTACATTGAAAAATCTCATGGTTTTGAAGACAAGGTCCGAACTATTTAACCTGTAACTGAAAATAACTTGGCCTGTATGTCGAAAGATGTCTACACGGCAAAAGAAATAAATTTTTATTACAAGCTGAAGTAGAACGATTTGGAATCAAATTCATGTTTATGATATAATGGGCAATAAAACTTTAAAAGCCACATGTTTGACTAGAAACTTATCCGAAACTACAACACGTCCCTGAAATATTTTTCCCCCTCGAGTGATATTAAAAAAAAAATTTACATATGAATAAAAACTTTAGTGAGCACTATCCTACGGGGTGTGGTTAGGAAAATACAAACATCTAGAAAATAAATCCCCAGAACGGGGTGTGTTTGTTTCCTTGTACGGCTAAAAGAGGAGGAACGAGATACTCTGGAGCATGTATTCAAAGGAAATTATGTCTTAATTTATAATTCTCGTCTGGTTGGCCGCTACTCAGTCCAATGCGCGTCTAACATTTTTGCCATGAAAGCGTAGCGGTCAGCAGCCTCATCAATCTGAGGATAACAAATTCAGCTTGTCAGCTTAAAATATAACTAAACGGGAGAGAAAGCGAAGCCAACCTCGAATCATAATTTATTACCATTTTCTGCGTTGGTCGGCCTGCCCCATGTCCAGCCTTGCATTCAATGCGACCTATTATAGGGTTTACCTGGGGGCTTCTTTCTATGCTCGTACAGAGAACATGCTGCATGGTCTGTATGATAACACGACGTATTAAGAAAATCGTGAATTTGAGGAAGAGTTTGTTATAACTTCTTTGAAGCTTGCAACATGACTTCAATAAAAGGACAAGGGGCTGATGAAGACTTACCGCCAGTAGCTTCAAAGAGTGCAATGGGACAACACGATCATCATGATCAGCTGTCAACAGCATGGTTGATGGGTACTGAATTGACTTATCAGGATTCTCTTCCCATGGTCTCCGCACATTATGCAATGGCGAGTACCTGAAATGCAGGGTTAAAGGTTAAATACATTATATGCATCAAGGTAAACAATAATAATTCATTTTTCATGATTTGGCTAAATGTAATAAGTTCAGGTATGGCAGCAACAGCAGCCGACTAAATGGATATCAGCTCAGCCATGCAACAAGATCAAGATATATCATGTTAGAATAAACCTTACTTGATGAGCCAGTGAAACTCTTCCTCCTTGTCCGAGCAGCCATAATCTGAGGTCCAAGCATGACCTGTATCAACCATACATCAATATGTGACATGTGCTAAAAAGAACTAAAAACTACCAGGGACAGCAGATCCAAACCAACCTATGGTGAACTTGTGAAATCGCAGCATATCCATAACTCCCACATGTGCCAGTGCGCAGCCAAAAAGATCAGGTCTCTGGATGTAGGGGGAAGAAACAAAATTAACGTGAATGGAGGGCTCAATAAAAGAGGCCTGCATGGGCTGAATGGCAAGATCCAAACCTAAAGGTCCTAGGTGCAAATCCCCATGAATAGGACAACCGGGAAAAAGAGGAGAAAACAAGGCGAGTTAGACCTGATTTATGCAAGCCCCTACTAGAAGTCCACCATTGCTTCCACCTTCAATGCATAACTTACTGGGTTTGGTATAACCAGCAGATACAAGGTATTCAGCTGCAGAAATAAAATCATTAAAGCAATTTTGCTTTTTAGCAAGGGAGCCTGCTTTATGCCATTCCTCCCCATATTCTCCACCACCACGTATATTTGCTATGCAGAAAACAGCACCTAGATGTCTCGTGAGCACAATGCGACTGACACTAAAAGATGGAGTAAGACTGATGTTAAAACCGCCATATCCATACAATAAACAAGGATGTGAGCCATCCAAAACAATATTTTCTCTGGCAACAATGAAAATTGGGATCTTGGTACCATCCTTGCTGGGCACAAAAACCTGAAATGTGGGCATGTCACGTCAGAAATTTTAAGTGACAGCAAGTAACAAATTTCATGGGATAACCATGCCTCTATACATACAGAATACTGAGATATTCAAGAACTTAATTTATTCGAAACTGTATATAACAGCATATATATAAGCACCAGTTGGGGACAATTTTTTTACCTGGTTGACATGAAACTCAGAGCGGTCAAACCCAGGGACAATAATTTCACGAAATATCTTCATATGAGGAACCTCATTTTCCAAATTGCACTGATATATGATACCAGGAGTTAAGAAGCTTGTGAAGCCTATGAAAACCACAGTATCTTCTCGCCGTGCAGAAATTCCAAAAACTGTGCCAATGTCAATTGGCAGTTGATGGAGCAAGGAACCTGTTTTTAAGTCTCTCACTTGCAGAACATACTTCACATCACTCAAGTAGCTCACAATCATTTGGTTACCATTTACAGCACATGCTGACTCGAGTACATCATTTTCAGACTCTGGGAGAACATCAGTCCATACAGTCGGTTCTTTCGAATCAACTTGAACTAGTTTATATTTTGAAGCATCTTTATTTGTCAGAAAAGTAAATACACTGTCATCATTTGCAATGGCTTGATACTGTGCATCAAAATTATCAATAAGCTTGACAAAGGGGAGTAGAGCATTTTCATTCCTAAGACTTGCCAGCCCATTGGGAAGAGCAGTCATGTCGCAGTAGTAAAATTTGTTAACTGGATCACACCCTTCTTCAATATAAAGAAGTACGTACTGAAGTGCCAACAAAGAAGAGTGCTTCAGTGTCACATAAAATTTGAGAATATATGCATCTAATATCCATTGTGAGCTTTGTTCCACTATTCTACATGACGAAGGAAAATATTACACCTATCATCATGCCTTCATTTCCGAAGCCATAAAACTAACCAAGTAATCATACATTCAAATTACAGCTTTTAAATCATAATGGACAAAATAGTTGTTTTCCTAAAAGTACGTAGATTAGAACATAAATAGTGGAGCAACAACGTACAATGCATAATTTCTATGCAATGAATTACATGAGTTTAGTAAACATCACAAGAGCATAAGAAAATGGCAGTCAATTTTACTATTTCAAGTAATATAGAAAAATATAGAATATGTCACATATGTCTAGAGCAATGGCAAACATAGAGCACCTTTCCATCATCAGTAACACTTGCTCCGAACATATATTTAGGGTTTTCAGGATCTCTCCAGCAAAGGATATCTTCTGATTGATCAGTACCCAAAAAATGATAATAGAGCTCATGATAAAGGTTAGAATTTGTCTCAGTCCCAGCATCTACCACTTCTCCATCTCTACAGTGTAAATTAAACATTGTCATCAATTTGATTTTTCAATGAAGAAAGCACGCAGTAAATCCTACCAGCATCATAATGGATGAGTTAGTTAAAAGGTATTTATAAAACAATAAAAATTACATTATTCAAGACAAAGCAAATTCATCGCTCTGATTGGCAATCAGATGGCAAGCAGTTAGGATGACGAGTTCCCCTGTTTTACCTTCTCTAGTTTTTATTTGCTAAATTCTCCCACATTTTAACAGGCAGAAGTGACAATCAGAAGTTTCAAGCCTACATCCAGTTTCCTACTTTTCGGAAAAAATGCGAGGATAGGACATCACTTACTTGGGAGCTGGATAGCGACTGTAAAAGAAACCTTTGCTATCATGCGTCCAGCTTATAGAAGAAAACTTGACCTGAAAACATGGTATTAATAGCTGTAAATGGTTCATTTCTGTACTCATCTATCTTTCTACAGCGACAAACTGTGACACTCACCCATGATAAAATATCAGGCTCGGTATTCTTGTCCTCAATACGCATTACCTTTATCGTCACCCAATCACTACCACTTGAACTAAGGCCATAAGCCAAATATTTTGCATCCTCGCTCGCCGAAAGTGTGCTTAACGAGACAGTTCCATCTTCACTGAGGACATTGGGATCAAGCAAAACCACTGGTTCTCCCTCCAAAGTATCCTGAAAAGTTACAGAAGACCACGACCATGAAATGAAGAAGCTTAGAGTTACACAGGGAGGCCCAAAAAAGGCCTTAATGACCAAGCCAGATGCACAAATAGGCCATTATACCTGCACATAAAGGACGTCTTGTGGCTGAAGACCGGAATTATGGAAATAGAAGTACTTATTTGCCCGCCTAAAGGGAGGATGATATCGAGGATGGTCAAAGAGTTTTGTGATATTTTCACGAAGCTTCTCCCTAGCATCGCATAGCTGAAGCACGGAATCCGTCAATTTAACCTGCTTCTGTACAAACTCTTTGACTTCTTCCGCATCAGGATCCTCAAGCCTGTGCAAAGAATATATGACTTGACGATATTTACCTTAATCATTTTCAAACAAATGTACATAAATCACAAATACTACCGAGCTCACTATCTACCGAAACTAAACAAATGAACATACACAGCATTCATAACGCATCTTAGATAGTTTATGCGAAACGTTGACAGACGTAGAAGGATCCTTCATAAACCGATCAACGAATTGAGCAAAGAGACATAAGTAAATATGACGTAGGTACCATCTATAAGGATCGGCAATCTTAACGCCGTGGAAGTCATCGACGACAGACTCGTCTCTACGAGCAACAGGATAATGCAGAGGCTCGTCTAGGGCAAGAAGGGAGCCCATCCTTGGGGCTGACGACGACGAAGTGGGAGCAGAGAAAAACAGAGGAAGATTAGATTTGAATAAGAGGGAACGCTGACTGGGCAAGCGTTTGCGGGGCGTCCAAGAATGAAAGCCGCAGAAGCTTAATAGAGCGGGTTTATAAGTGCGCCGAGCAATTCGGGGAATCACGAAAAAGGTAGGTGAACTCACAACCTCGCGCGCGTGGCGACCGTATGAGAGCATAGTTACATGGTTTGTGTGCTGCTTTGCCCTCCCAAGCCCCTCAATGGGGGCGTTCCCTGAACAACGTCATCCTTGGATGTCGCCATTTTGAGTCCATCATGGCCCATACTATCTTGACTATGAATGAGCAGATAACGTTGTAAGCACCATCAGACAACTAATCCTGCCTGGAATATGCTCGCTTGGCTGCCAAAAAAATCACAGCTATGTGGAAGGAGGAATGGAAGACGACATGATTCCACCATCTTTTTATATTGGCGCACATTTAATAAAAAAAGAATTACAATGAGATCCAAGCAAAAAAAAAAAAAAATAAAAAACAAGGCTCAGAAGTTGTCATTCTCACTATTATTGGGACCTTTTAGTAATTATGTCTTTTCTGTGAGACTTGATTATAATTCTCCCTTTAATAAATTATTTTTTTATATTCTTATTTTAAAAAAGGGAAAATTGGTAAAAAAAAAATCTCTGTTTGAAAATTTAATTGGCTAAAAAGACTTGAATTTGAGCACGTGCAAGTAGGATTCGTGAGTGCAACATATCTTCCGTTGTGTGTAAATAACTTCCGTATTGATCATTGTTGCATATCATTGAAGATATGTTGCACACAGCAGAAGATATATCATAGTCATATCTATTCAAATTCAAATCTTTTTAACTAATTAAATTTTCATTCTGGGATTTTTTACCAATTTTTTCTTTAAAAAAGCCTACAGCTTCTATCTTGTTTATTACGCAAATCTCATGCTTTATTATTTTACTGTAGAATCTCATTCTGAAAGTTACGTCAATTTAAATAATAAAAATACGTTTTATGTGACAGAAAATGACACCAATGATTCAGCGAGCAATGGCCACGGCGGCAAGATGGAGGCTGGACCCTTGATGCACATAGAACAGGTAGAGTGATGACAATGAGCAGCAAAAGTACTCGAGATTTTACAGTTTTAACTAAAATAGTGGAACTAATACTCCTCCGGTCCTAAATATTAGGGGTGGATAAATTGTATTTCACTTGCTAATATATTAATATAAGAGTTGATTAACTAACTTGAATAGATTAAAAATTAGTTAAGTTAGTTATTTATAATAAATAGGTATTATTTTTTCTAAAATATAATTGTTAATCATATGTATTAGTTAGCCTTCAACATATGCAATCACTACAAGAACTACATTGAAAAAAATAAATAAATATAAAAGATAAAATGAATTAAGATATTATATTTATGACTAAATTAAATATTAAATTACCTCATATATGAAATATTGAAAGTAGTATTTGATATAAAATCACTTTTATAAATAGGAGGTCACAGGTTTTTGGAGAAGCACTTGGAAAAAAGTACTTTCACAAATTAAAACAATTTTTTTTAACACACTTATCTCGCACCTGTAAAATTACTTTAAAAAGCCAATGCAAATACTTTCATCTCACATAAAATACCAAACTGTCAGCATCTGGCTTTCTGATGTAAGGAAAAAGTGGCATTGGGCTATAAACATTGGAATCTGTATTAGGCCTTTTTGTACAGATGAAGCCCATTGTTGCAGTCGGGGCGAATAGGTCCAAAGCGTTGGGTGAACGGCAGATCTGTGATGGATCATCTGAACCTGGTTGAAGAAAATTCTTGGCCATAGTCCATAGTCCTGTAATTTGATCATTGTCAAAATAGACCACCTCTCCTCCAGATTCCCCCGCCTTGGGGAGGGGAAAAAAGATTGGGGGAGTCTAATAAAATTTTTCATGTGAGGAGAGGAGGATCCTCTGCTTCAAATCTCCTGGGACATCTTTGTCGCAAGCAAAGTGTGCTTAATCATTATGTAAGTATGAGAAATTTAACAATGGCCACTCCTTCCAAACATAGGTTAAGGAACAATCGTTCTTCACCATTTTCCACGCATTGCATCTAGAGATCGCCTCCACCTTCAACTTTCCACACCCGCTTCCTCTTCTACCCTTTTGATCCATTCATCTCCCCTTCGAGCTTTTTGGCCGGGAGCTATCGCTTGCTTTGCCGAACCAGCTCTGGCACGATCCCCTTTATCGCGTAAACGGCACTTGTTTCTTTTGTTCGCTTTTTTTTTTTTTTGGGGCCAAATTTGTTCACTCATTAATAAGTTTCTGTTCTTCTGCCGCAGTCCTAAAAATTAAATAACTAATTTATGAAAATTTAAAATAATTTATTTATTGGTTATAAAAAAGATATGCATGGGTTATCGTAATATATATCTCTCTTTTAAATCATAATACTAACCATGATTAGATTATTCCTGCTATTACAGCGGGAAAATTGGCTTCAGATTGGATTGTTGTAAATTTATTGTAATTTTTAACAGGAAAAGATTCTTTTGCACCAGGGGCACCAACATATTCATTGATGCGCGCGTAATTAAATAAACGTCAAATGCATAAACTCCAAATTCTCAAGGTTAATCACCTCCTGAGTAAGGAAGAAATCGACGCAGAAGGAGTAGACGTAACAAGGGGAAGACTCTCAGTTACTACCTCCTGTTGTTAATACTCCGTCCGCTATAAATATAAGATTTTTTTTTATAAAGTAAATTACATTACAAAAAGGTTCTTATATTTAAAATCTGAGGAGTATAACCTTATTTGATTTTTATTTTGGTTCTAAATATAAGACTTTGATTTATTTTTTCTTTCATATTTATACATTTTTTCAAAATAATCCTTCTAATAATTATAGTTCTAACTTCTAACCAATACACTTGATTAATAAGGATATTTTAAGAAAGACAACACCTATTTATTTTAAATAACTAATTTAATTTTTTAATCTTTTTAAATTAATCAACTAACTCTTATAATTATAATTAGAATCCAGGTGGTATATTATTTTTTTCCAGAAAAAAAAAGCAGAGAGAGAAAAGCGGAAGAGTGAGGTAGAAAGCAGGAAGATGAGGCAGTAAAGACAGTAGCGGGGACTAGCCCTCAAGTACAGGCAAAGGCCAATAATGCAAACCCCATTCAGCTACTTTATCCCCTTCCTGTCTTTTGGTTTCCCACTGACCATGGTCTTGGAAAGCATGGACAGTTGAGGTCTCCGATTCTGAACAGAGTTTTGCGTAGTATACTCCAGATCACGAGCAATGGCAAGTGTTTCGTCTCCAGATCAACTGAATGAGCAATTTCAACGTCACAGACTGAGTGCTTATGCAAGCAGTTCCGAAAGCTTAAGCAGTTATGATCATAACAATTCAATTTCTTTGCCTATCACCCCCACTCATTATTCCAGTTTCCCAGCGCCGAAGCTCGGTAATCTCTCAACTCTCAGCTTTGTACATTTTCTCCCATTTTCCCTGTTCTTTGCCTTACCCCAGTCCCCTTTAGACTTTCTTTTACTTTCACTTCTTGATTTTCCATGAGAATGATTTTGGTGTAAAATAGGCCTTTTTCTTTCTTTCTTTTTCCCTTAATCCCTGGTTGTGTGATGTAGAAGTTGAAATGATGAAAGAGCGGTTTGCAAAGCTTCTGCTAGGAGAGGACATGTCAGGAGGAGGGAAGGGAGTTTGTTCGGCTCTCGCTATTTCCAATGCGATAACCAATCTCTCGGGTTGGTGGTCTAGTCACCTTTGCTTGCGGTTCTTGATTTTTTAATTACTTTCATTTATTAACTCGGGTGAGTATGGTTAGTTTGGCATTTGAGTAATATCATCTGAAATTTGGTAGCTGGTGTGTTTGGAGAGTTGTGGAGATTAGAGCCTTTGGTGCCACAAAAGAGATCCATGTGGGAGCGGGAAATGGCTTGGCTGTTATGTGTGAGTGATTCAATTGTCGAGCTAGTTCCTTCAACACAAGATTTCCCAGGCGGTGGGACCTTTGAGACTATGGTACCCCGGCTCCGACCTGATATACACCTGAATCTTCCAGCACTTAAGAAGCTTGATTCCATGCTGCTAGGCATTCTTGATGGATTCAGGGATTCAGAGTTTTATTATGTTGATCGTGGAGTTATAGTTGATGTTGACGTAGCTCTTGAAATTGAGACTAACATGTTACCTCTCTCTGCATCTTCTGCACGGCCATCAATATGGCAGGAAGAGAAGTGGTGGCTTCCATTTCCCAAGGTGGGGCAAAGTGGTCTCTCTTCAGACATGAGGAAGAGACTGCAACAGTCCAGGAAATGCACGCACCAGATTCTCAAGGCTGCTATGGCTATTAATAGCAATGTGCTTTTTGAGATGAAAATCCCACATGTTTACTTGGATAACTTGCCCAAGGTATGATATCTACTTGCTCTATCATGCGAAGATATACGAATCAATGAAAAAATAAAATACATAAACAAAGAAAGTTTGGGTGAGGTTATGGAGTAATTTCAGTTTTATCTTCAATTATCATTGCACTTCAAAACTGCTTGATACAGAGCATGAAAGAAACATCGTGACTTTTTGTTTATACTTCCCATTGTGTATCATGTGCCCAAGATATATACAAAAGGCTCACACATGATGATAGCATACCTTTACAACTTTAACCACAAGGATAAGATGAGCGTCAGTTCATTCGTGATTTGATCTGCGAGGAATCTGTGTCATGGTAGTGAATCTTTAGGGGTCCTGGAGCTTCTATAGAACAATAGTATATTCACATTAGGTTCGAACTCAAAACTATTTGTCACAACTCTACAGGAGAGACTCTTGCGGCAATGTGAAAATGGTTATATAGTGTATACAGCCATTTAAGTCCTAAATGGTTGTATTTTCACTTTTAGAGCCTTTAGTAGTATACCCTACGTCACAGCTAACCATCTAAATCCTTACGCAAAGATGAAAAACATCGAATCGACACCATTCAAAAGCTGCTTGTGTAACCTTTCCTCTTTCTTTGTTCATCTTATCTGTTGTAATAACATGAATCAACATTTTGTGGTTTACTTTCAGAGTGGGAGAGCTTTAGTGGGGGACATCGTATATAACTTGTTATGTGCTGATAAGTTCTCCCCTGAGTGTGTTCTGGATTACTTAGACCTATCATCTGAATATTCAACTCTGGAAATAGCAAACAGAGTAGAGGCGACCATGCACATCTGGAGGCAAAAACACCTAAAAGGGCATGTAATTAGTCGGAAGGGTGGAAAATCTTCGTGGAGTGGCAAGGTCAAAGGCATGGTGGGTCACACGAAAAAGCATAAGCTTCTAGCACAGCGTGCTGAATCCCTGCTGCAGAATTTGAAGCAAAAGTTCCCCAGCCTCCCCCAAACTGCTTTGGACATGAGCAAGATACAGTACAATAAGGTATGTCTCTCAAAATACACCACTATCAAGGTACTAATACTGCACTTCATTTTCATTTGGATATGCTAATAACTTGAAAAAAAATTGTAAATGTCACTAAAACACACACACACACACACACACAATGCATGCCCTCTTATGTACTCACAGTTACACTCAACTTTGCTGGTCAAGTCATGGTAGAACAAGCAAACATGTAGGGTAAGAATAGAAAAGGAGGTTTTTTTTTTTTTTTTTTGGGGGGGGGGGGGGATGGACTAGAAGTATGGAAGTATTGAATGAATATTTGATGTAATGTGACAGGATGTAGGGAAGCAATCCTCGAGAGCTACTCGAGAGTGATGGAAAGCTTGGCCTACAATGTATTAGCAAGGATAGATGATCTTATTTACATAGATGATGCCGCCAAGCAACATGCATCAGCGCAATCAAAATATTTATTTGATGAAGAGAGGTTCAGTGTGTTGTACCATTACAGAGACAAAAGCACAAAGTAGCTCCCACCACAATGTTTGTGCTCGTCTATAATTCAAGCATCGCATGTCTGGGATGGATTATAACTGACTTCCTTGCCTTATCCGTCGGTCGTCTCTTCTTTTGGCTTAGTATGTAACTACTAGCTAGGTGTTTAAAGCAATCATTCATATGTGAATCTCTCAAATCTCAATATGGTGATATACTAATGGAGGGTTCTTGAGACACTTGATTGCTATAGATGCATAAAAGCATCGTACACTAGAAGGCAGCGCTTAGGTAGGTTCGTTATTCCGCGCCATGTCCTTGCTGGTTAATCATATCATTCTTGTTACTCCTGACGGCCCAACCAAAGCAGCATGCAAGGACACAGGACAAAAAACAGACGTCAAAACCAGTTGAAACTATAACACGTTTCTAAGGAAAAATCAAATAGAATTTAATTACTTTTTAGTAAAGCTTAACTCTGCTCTTCCATCCCCAAATTATGTAGTTCTTGAAATTAAACAACAAACGAAAGTGGACTAAAAATCAGCTGAGCATGACTAGTTACAAGTTTGGGCGGCTCATATCGTTGGGCGTTTGAAAAAAAAATACTTATCAATATCATGCACAATAAATTAATGAATGATCCAATCAATTGTCCATCAGTCAAACATTAATTAATAAGTAACAAAATACGGAGCACTTTACACCTTTTTAAAGACTTGACACATCTGAGCTTTGTTGATCGAAATCAATATTTTTGTGGCACAAATGGCACGGAGCTTCTTTTCTTGACCAACTTCTATTGAGAGAGGTCAAGAAAAGAAGTTTCATTATATAGATTTTCTCTCTCTAAAATATAGGTATCTTTTTATTCGAGGTATTATCGGATACTAAATATGAGTACCTTCAAATTTTAGTTCATCACATTGTGAGGGACTAACCCCTTCCGCTAAATCTAATCCCTGTTAGTTATATGGACCTGTTAATCATATGTAAATATTTATATTGACGAGAAGCAATTCTGACCTGGTTTGATTAGATAAATCGTACTCTAAAAAATTGTAATAATGAAAGCTTGTATTGGTTTGATTAGATAATTAATGTGGCATATTTGCTTACGTTGGTGATTCGTGATGGAAGAGAAATAGGTTTATTATAGTGTTGGTATGATTAACTACAAATTTAACACGTATGAATTGTCTAAGATATTTTTGTTTTCATAGATATTCCTTAAATATTTTCTTCAAAAATATTAGTTTTATTTTAAAAAAATTATAAATATTAGTGTTAGTTTTTCTATAAAAAAATAAAATAAGGTGAGTTGAATTCTAAGAATTTATTAGAACTAAGACTTGCTTCGAGGCTAAAAAAAGATCTCAGCCTCATGAGTTATTTGTGAGCCAACCAAGCTTTGTTGTTGGCATAGTGTTTTTTTTCCCTATGTATTTATCAAAATGTTTTCAAATTTTGATGGATCCTGAAGCTATTTCCTTGATCAATCATAAGAAATTATATCAAGATATCTCTAGAAAAACAGGGAGAGAAATTAAATGTTCAGTGCTCAGTGCTCACCACCTCAAAAAAACTCAGGGATACAAATGTGCTGCTCAAACATCCTTGGACTCGCCTCTATATTTTCATGCCGGGAGAAAAACTCCAGACTCTTCCCCCTCTCGAATCTTCCGGATCTGCTGGCACAGCTCTTTCATTGCACGGTAGAATTTCTGGCGCATGAAAAAGAGAAATGCTCGCAAAGAAGGTTTGATATTTCTACTGCTATACTTTAAGCCACTTCCCCACCCCCAGGGGCCTAAGAAGATTTGGGTCTTGGGTTGAAGAAGCCGGAAAAGTTGTGTTTATTTTAAGTGTAATGGCATTATCATCAGGTGGATGGGGAATGCATGCACTCGTCTTTACAGTGCATGCTATGGGACTGTGTGAAAGGGCCGTTTAAAGCGCTCAACACTCATCATTGCCATCATCAACCCTCCCATTGCTCCTCCTCTCAAAAGGGCCGTCGATAATAATAACATCACTGCCAGGCTGCTCATAAACAATAATATTTTCTCCTCCTGGATACATGCGTATACCACTCCTATTCTTCCTTTAATCAACCCTGCTCGTGTGCGTCCATGACTCCATGCATCCTCCCTAATAACCATATGTATAGATCATCTCCGTTCATGCTTATTTCGTTGGAATATGCTACTTCCGGTACTCTTTTGTAAACCATGAAAGAGGTTATAATTAGGACACACACATACATATACCTATATATATATATATATATAAGCGGCTGCAAACAAGGCATTCATTCATCGTCTTGGGGGAAAACAATTTGGTTGCACACAGTCACACACAGAAGTGGTCAAAGTCAAATGGAACGGTAGGCGGGCGGTGGAAGACTGAGGCCACAAGACGTAAAAAGCGGTTGACTTGGTCATTATTTGTCCGTCATGGATTATACGCGGCCCAATAACAGGGAGGGGCCGTAAGGGTCCCTAACTCCCTATTGCTTCGAGGAACCGGGATTCTCGGCCAGGCCAGATGAGATCTCATCATATTCACACCTGGAAAAAAATATTGGGGCGAACGCTAATGACAGGGAAGCGTAGTAGTGACTAGTGTCTAGTGAGTGATCCGTAGGGATGGAGAGTTAGGGTCACGCGCCAGGAAGAAGCGTGGAGGTTGATGTCAGTAGTCAATCATGAGGCTACGTAGAAGGCATTGGGCAGTAGGGTCAGGCATTAATTCTGCATTTGAATGCCAAGTCCCATCCCTTGCCATCCTCCTTCATCCCAACCCAATCATCCAAATATAATAAATACTGCTACTCTCCTTCTGTCTCCAGTGGCGAACGCCCTTGGACTCCCTCCGCACCCGCAGCATCAACTTGGCCTCCGATGCATGAAATGAAAACAGCTTCCCGTTAAACTCATAAGTAAATATATATAAAAAAAAAAAAGACAAAAAGCAGGGAGGCTTGCTCTCCCTCTTCCCGGTACCATCTCCAGATAAACTTTTGCTAGTTATCTATTATCGATTAGAATATCAAAAGGACTAGGGTGAGTAGATTATTAAAGCTCCATGTAGAGAGTGGGGAAGAAACCCTAGCTAGGTGCTAAACCCGAATCTAAACGCAAAAGAATAGTAGAATACACATCCACCCAAACGGAAGAGCTTTCAGGATCGTCATCAACAAGACTGGCAGTGGAACGACCTAAGAAAAGCAACTCAAAGAGAAGGAAAGTAGCTAGGGTTCCCAAAAGCAGCGGCAGCAAGTATTCCCAATTCCCATACAAACAGACCGATCACCCGGCAGCAGCGGGAACCTGCAGAATAGAGAAGGGAGAGCATCCACAAGATATGCAGTTGTTGTTAGTTAAGAATATTCTTGTTTTACTTTATTTCAAAGGAAATAGTGGGTAGCATGAGAGGGAGAGCTTGGAAGTAAAAATGGGAGAGAATATATGAGATGTGTGAGAAAAGATCAGGAGGGCTTCACAAAGGGAAGCGAGCAGAGCTCAGTTGGCAGTATGCCCACCTCCTTTGTGGACGGACGGACGGACGGACATGAAGAGAGAATGAGGAGGTGGACAGAATGCCAACAAACTCTGTAAGCATCCCTTCGTCAAACCAACTTGAACACAAACGCCGCGAGGCAGAGCCGGAAGAGATCGCCGTTTAAGATTATAGCAGAGAGCGGTGGATGCATATGCTGCTATTTAAAACAGCGAAGGGAAGGGAGCTTCACAGTAAATATGAGAGAGAATGGGGAGGAGGTGGGTGTCATTAATAAATGTGAATAATAATATCTTTATTAATTAATAATTTAATTACTCGGTAGAAAAGAGAAGTGAAGGAGACGTAGTTGCAGACTCAAGAGATTGACAAGCAACCAGATTGGATGGTTCATTCCTGAGACTGAGAAGGGCATATTTAGAAGGATGAAAGGATCATCATACTTATTCTTTGGCCCTCGTTCCTGATGAAACTGAACCCCTCACTCTCTGCTCCTAGTCTTCTCTCCCTCTCATTGCCACTTTCCCTAGCTAATCCCTTTGCCCTTTTCACACCCTCGATTCTGGCGCTTCCTCTGCTGGCTTATGGCGTCCATAAAAGTATATATAAATTGACAAATATCTCTGTCCAGCCAAAATCAGTTCTAGCCCACAAGCAAATTCATTCGGCAATTTCCCTGGTGTGACGGTACTGCGCGGTAATTATTCAGTGGGATATACATTAAATTTAGGTAAACCAAAATAACAGTCTTTCTCTCCTTCACTGCTGCAGATCAGCAGGTGGCCCGTCCCCTTAGCTAGCACGTTATATAGTCTCTTCCTTTCTTTATTTCTTTCTTTGAATGACTACGTTGTATTTGACGTATATAATAGTCATTCCTTATCCTTGCCTTATCATTATTAGAAGGATTATCTTTCTGGATTTCTTATAATTGACCTAGTCTTATAATGTATTTTATATTGAGCATTTTAAACTGTATTATAACGAACATACCATTTTCTCCCTAAAAATTTCAAACCTCAATTTTATAAAAATATTACATTGTTTTCATTCGATGTAATCATCAATCATAGCTCCCTCAATCCTGAGTTGAATGATTGGTAGTAATCTTTTTATATTGTCCATTTCATTTTCTCTCTTCAACTGAAAATTAAAGGTAATAAACATAAGAGTGTAATTGATAAAATAATAATACTTGCTGGGACAGTTTTTCCACCCTTTGTAATCTTTACTCGCATTAGTTGAAGTGGAGCAAGCATGCTTAAAATAACGGGTGATTCAATTTACTAAAAGAAAAAAAATGGTAATAAATGATGTTTTAATATTTAAAATGTCAGTTGAAAATAAATACACAGATACCATCAAACGTGAAATTTCAAAAGAAATAGATAGAATGCAGAAAAAATTAACGTTTCATTAAAATTCTAAACCTAGCTATGATCGAACAAAATAAAATTCCAGAATAACAAGTATATTATTAACACAAGTTTTAATAGGTTTACTTATTCTTCCGGAAGGTAGTGAATTATTAGTTCCAAATTGAAGAAATGGATTTCAATGTATTTTATAAACACATATGAGAGTGGTTGGCGAAAATAAATAAATAAATAAACACATGCGAGTTTGCACAAAGCTCAGAATATATTCCCATCATTTTAGTGCACTACAAAAAAACAGACTTTAGGCGACGACTTTCGGCGGCGACAAAAAAAGTCGC